TTTCCAAAATTAAAGATATTCGTATTCCACCTAAATCTATGTTGTTATCGTTAGACGTTGATAGTCTTTTCACAAATGTCCCATCCCCTGACTGTTTGCGTATACTCTCAGATCTCTTTGAAAAACGCCATCTACATCCCGGGGAAACAAATGATCTTCTTAACTTAACTTCTCTCTGTATGAAACAAAATTATTTCCGGTTTAATAACCGTTTCTATCTAAAAAAAGAAGGGTTAGCTATGGGGTTCCTTCTAAGTCCACTTATGGCGGACATTTTCATGGATAATTTCGAAAAACAACATATAGTTGTTAACCAAAATATCTTATGCTATTATCGATATGTAGACGACATAATTATTTGCTGGACTGGCACAAGGAGACTACTGGATGTTTTCAATTTGTTTGATTTAACAATAACAAGAAAATAGTCGTTGCATGTTTTTCAAATTTATCGAAAGCCAACTCATACCGACACGGTCATCCCCGCGTCACCGTGTCATCCATGGCAACATAAATTAGCCGCTTTTTATAGTTACATTAACCGTCTGTTCACTGTTCCATTAAGTAAAGAAAATTATTTAAAAGAACTTAATATAATTTATCAAATTGCAGTCTCTAACGGTTTTTCCAAAAAGTCTCATTAATAATCTTATTAAAAAGAAACAAAAGCATGTTGTTCGCAATTCTTTGTACGCGGTTCGATCTCAAAGTAACCGGCGATGTGTGGGTAGTTTGACCTACTTAGGCTCCATATCGGAAAAAATAGCTAATACTCTTAAGAAAAACGGCGTTAACGTGGCATTCAAAACAAACAATTTGCTTAGGAATATTTGTAATAATAAAGATAAGTTATATATTAGTCAAAATCGGGTGTTTATAAACTTGTTTGTGATGAATGCCACGCCGTTTACGTGGGTCAGACTGGTCGCAATTTTGGGACGTGCTATAAAGAACATTTGGCCGCGTACGGAAATTGCAATCCTGATAAATCCCATTTTGCTAAACATCTCTTGGACACTGGACACAACCTAGCTAGCGACCATTCCTTTGAAGTCTTACATACTTGTGATAAGGGGCTGCGACTGTGTGTGCTGGAGCAGTTGGAGACATTAAAAAGTAATAATGGTAATTATGCACTGCTGAATGAACAAACAATTGTTTCTAATTCACCTTTTTTAAACATCTTTAAGGCTAATCTTTAATAATAATTTTAAGATTAATAATAATAAATAACTATAATAATATCAATAAAACAATTATTTTAGTTTAATAATAATAGTATTTAAAAATATTAATCATAACAATAATGATAATTAGTAGCAGGTTTGTTATCGCACGGCGGGGTCACTTGCTATTTTGGTGGGGGTGATTGTGTCAGCGTGTATAAATAGCAACCGTTTCGGCTCGCCCTCTTTTCCCAAAAGAGGGTCGCTCATGATAAGACACAATAGAGCTTAATCAGGCGGTTGCCTGTCCCCAAAGGCGGTTTTTAGAGGGTATCACTTAGGGTCCCCGGTAGGACAGTGAGCCCTCCATAACCACGATAGACCGGCTATCGTGGTATGCGTAATGCATTTTCCGCCTCCCTACGTATAGGGTAGCCCTTTAATTGCTTCGGGCGCAAAAAAAAAAAAAAACTCGCCGCTCACGTAGCGGTCAGCCGCCGTAGAGTCTACATTACCTGAAGATGCCTCGTGTAGAGGCGAAACACGTGTCGTATTATCGTCGATGGTGTGTCTTACCTGGAATAGTGGTGACGGAGTTAGTGCATGCAATTGAGGGAGGGCGGGAGGTGCTCTTCAATCCAGGTAAGACACATCATTGTATTTATTTAGCGGAAGGTTGCAAAGAAATTTATATTTTTATTTTTTATTGCAATTTGAGTTAATTGAGGGTTGTACAGAGTTTCGATATAATGATTTTCTTAATCTCTTTCGAAATTCTAAAGGGCTGGGGTTATCATTATTTTTTTTCCAAATTATGAAATTTGGAATCGATATATTATATTAACTATCGTCCGGACGGTAAAAAAATATCATCAACTTATTTTTAATAAATAATAATTTTAAAATTTACTTACTGGTTTTGGATTCAATCACCAAGTAGGCAAGAATAACCTGATCTATCTAAACGAACTGATCGTAAAAAAAAATGAAGAGTGAGAGAATTATGATTCTCCCAAGGAGAATATAACCACTAGAGAGCGTATAGGCAGATTTCTTCTAAGCATACGACTCACTACTGCGGGCCGGGGGACGAGGAAGAACGCGTGACTGCAAATCGTAGACAGAAATACCTATAGACAAATTGACGCCTTCTTTCGCATTGGCACACGAAAAAAATTTATGTACACTTCATGCATAGAAATGAGACAGAGCGGTGTGATTGTATGTACCTTTCTCCGTGCCGGTTTTTTTTTTGTTTAGCAAACTACACGTTGCGAAACAAACTTTGACAGTTCGTGGCGATCTAAAGAGTTTACAAGTTGGTTTAAGTGAGAAAAAAAGTTTTCTGTGAGCTTAAGATTGGTGAATCTATTTCAGTTCAGTTCTTAGAACAATTAAAAACTTTAAAAATGGTTAGATGTAGTGTCTTAGGATGTAAAAGTGATAGTGAACGTAATCTCACCCGTAATAATTTCACTAGTAAGTATAGTACATTTTATCTGGTATTACGCATAAAATTCAATTGTTTTTTTTTTGATTTCGTTACAGAACTATACGAATATATGTTTAAATTTTATCCAAATATGTCTCTTATTAAAAATTTTACGACGACAAATATCTACTACTGTAGTGGATCCGTACAATAACTTGTCTTTAGTGTCCTTTTGAAATTGTAAGCCCTTCTAATTTGGTACACCAATCTAACTAATTTAACTAGGTAACTATAAACTTTAACTAAGAAAAAATACCGACAAACTGAGAACCTCCTCTTTTTTCTGAGACGGTTAAAAGTAGATAAGTATTTTTTCACAGTGTGTGAATTGAATAATCTTTTTATTAATTTTAATTTTCTTATTTTCGATATCGACTTTCAGCTATTAAAGGAACAGTAAGTACTAATGTTTACGATAAACATACAAAGGGAAAGAAAGAGATAGAAGCATTAGAATTGTCTAATAATAGAACGAGACTTTTACAAAAGACATCAACGCGCTACTCAACCATGTCGTTATTTACCTGGCCACCGTTTTAGATAGACCCCTGCGGTGGCTCATAATCTGAATTAATCGACAATAATTTTCGTATTTTTTACTTAGCAATGAAAAGTTACTCCGTTATTTTTGGACATCTATCCTGGAATGTTTCCCACACCACTTTACCGCGTATGAAGGCATTTTGATGCATTATAATTGCATAAAAGTTATAAAAATTTGTATTAATTTAGCGTGCACACAGGTCTAACACTTGGACAATACCAAAATTGTTAATAGTACCATAGCCGATGCATAGGCGACAAAATACTAATAGTTTTCGAGCGTCGGGGCACTGTATGCGCAGTCAAGTGGTTATATAGTCTTTGGATTCTCCTATTATGCGTTCTCACACTTACTCGGACCTAGTAGTATACCCATACGAGTAAGCAAGTAAGATATAGACCTCTATTTTTAACTCGGGGCTTAATACAATGGCGTAGGATTTGAAAAAAATTATACCTGTATAAATTTACACCTGCCAAGTTCTACACTTTTTTTAGAAGATTTTTATCAAATTTTTACAGTTTTCGAGTAATTGCGAAAAAACAATTTGGACAGTTTTTTTCGACTCATGCAGGGGGTTGCAGACACTGAAACCTTTACACATTGGTTTTGTATCATTAAAACTATGTATACATAACCACTGACCTCTATATATACAAGTATATATAGAGGTCAGTGATACATAACACTATAACATACATATCAAATATGCAAAGTTGAGTGTCAAAATTTTGATTTCAGACGTTCGGACTTTTTCATTAACTGGCTTTACGGCTCTGGGTTCTTCTAGCCTTTCTGAGCCATTTCAGACCTTTTTTGACCGGACAGCATACCTATAATATATAGTTACCCAAAGGTATATGCTCCTTGCCACATATTTATTTATCTATGTTCTATGCTTGCTACATATTTATTTAATATTGCTCTGTTTCTCGTCAAATTGTACTTATTTATGTAAAATGTTATGTACAATTTTCTAATTTGTATATATGACTTAATGTGCCTTTAATTTAATCCTAAGATTACGTTTGTATGTATATGATGTTGGTGTGCTTGAATAAAAAATAAATAAGGTAGATGTATTATAATTGTTTCATTAAGTAATATTATTCCAGTATATTGCACTTATGTCGATATCGATAAAATAAGAACACCACTAAACATCGATATCGATAATTTGAAGGATGTGTGCTTGCAATCCCTAAGCTATACATAGTATATATTAGTCATTACTCATCTGTCAAAATGGGCGACTGCAGCGACAAAAGGCGTAGTTGGGAAACTAGACTAAAAGTCACTGTCGTATCTGTAGCTTGCTACATATTTATTTATCTATGATTTTATTTATCTGTTATCTATGGTCTTGATGTGTGTGGTTGGATTGTGTGAAAAATAATTTTATTGAAATATCAAAATCTCGGTGTTTGATTGAATGTAATTTTGATAAGTTCTGTTCATGTAAAAATAGGTAAATAATGGAAATCTCTTATAACGAAATGTTTACGTAGTATTCGTCTAGTAATTTCTCAAGTTGTTGTCCATTCATTGCTATTGTCAGTGTATGTCACCCGGTCGTATGTGGTTTAGAATATTCATACACTTATTCCAAAAATCGTACCGAACTGCAAAATATTTTTAAACGATGACTTAAAATAACAAAAATTAGGACATTTCCTGCATGTACATAACTAAAAACACTAATGTAAACATATCGTAACGGCATATTTACTTTTATTGATTTTTAGATACGATTGATTGTATAATTGATTCTGTAATTGTTTGAGTACAGTGGACTACAATGGACGTTGACGACTCGGCGGTCGACCTAAGTGTCAGGTAATGTGATCTTTTTCACAATATTACGTTTCAATTTATCCTTATTTAAAGAGAGCAGAAGCATATTATTATTTTGTGTAATATTAATTTTTCCTAAATGTAATATTAGCATCTATGGTATTATTTTTTTTTAAATATTTAAAAACAAAGTTGCATTCCTTCGGTGCCACTATCTGCTTCTGTATTATTATTATTTAGCTATTTCATGAATATAATTTTTTTTATGGTGGTTGATCATAATCTGAATTATACTGTTCAATATCAATAATATATAATGATGTTCCAGACATTGATTTATGTGCATGTAAATGTATTGAGGTAGCTTAGAAATAATCCATTTATTGAGCCTTCATTACTATATATAGGAATTCATTTATTACGCATAGTGCTTAAAATATCTCCGGGTAAGGTTGACAATTTGGTCGCCTGAATTAGGGGGTGGGGGGTGGTGTCGGAGGAGGGAGAGGAGTTGTAGAGTCACCCCCTACTTCCCATTCCTGCCGGACGTGCTTAGTTTTTTATTTATAAATTTTTAAAAATCTCATTTTGAGGTTGTTTCGTAATTTTTGTGATAATTTTAACCTGATTTATGGGGAGAGATAGTTCGGGGACGGAAGTCCCAAGCCACTTAACATGGTGCAGTCGAGGAAGCCCAGTCCGTCTACTGGGTGGTTTACAGAAAAATAACCACGAAGGGGATGACAGGGTTTCTTCGCTCACTCACTCGACCCTATCATCCCCTTCTACCCTAACCTGTCAGAGTCGCGGTGCCCCAAGTCCTAAGCTCGCTTTGCCCGCTATTGCACCCAATATAACACCAAAGTATTAACCACTCAAGACTGATTCATTCATTAAACCAGTTATAACTACTTTAATTTATAAACATAATTTATGGCTGCCACCATTTGTAAAAAAGGATCTTTGCAATATTTAGCAGTATTCCGCCGCCACAAATATTCCACTATTAACCAAAATTATGAAACTATGAAAAGCTGTCAACAAAATGGCCGACCTAGTGATTAATTTTACACATTTTTAAATCGATTCAAATCGAAATTGGATGAATCTATTTCGCAAAAATCGATTTTTTTATTTGCGTTAAAGGTTTATATTTACAATATCAAAAGACACAATATAGTACAGATAACATTGAATGATTGAGTTAAAAACTGTCATTTACTAGTTGGGGTACATTCAACTAATTGTCAATAATTTTACAAATCTTAATAAAACAGAAAAAGATTCAATCTCGATTCTCTAGGGTGAAATATCGATTCACTAGATCGATTCAGTACTATATATCGATATGATATTGACAGGTGAAACTTCAAAAACGTAATTAATTAGTCATTTACCAATATTTTTAAAAAAATAATTAAAAATACTTCGACGCTGCTTCGGCAGCTAAAATAGGTGGGGATGCTTCAGATAAACCCCCTTGACCCCCACAGTGACAGAATCTTCAAATTCAGGCAACCGAATTGTAAACCCAACTCATATCTCCAATTTCAAATGAGTAAATTCCTTGATTCAGATAAAAATTTTAGAACTTTTAGAACTTATACTGAAACATGTTAGTATAAAGGGACAGAACAAAAATATAAATAATCTATAACATAATTTAATATCTATTTTTTGTTCACATTGTGTTCACACTAAAATATATGTGATGACCATCGTAGGCTACCACACTCAATTTGAAGAGCAGTGATCTAGATAAATGCAGTAATGATAAGAATTAATATTTCCCATTGAGTATCATTGTGCATTGTGTATTTATCTTATTAAGTATTGGTATAACTTTTTCTCTTTCTTGTATTTAGTTATTTAAGACTCTTTCATACTATTTATCACTACTCTATGTGGTTGACTGGCATTAATGCTGCAGTAAAAAAAAACAAGCGGTAAAATTAAACATTTTGTACAACCAACTTTGATATAAATAAAGTGAGAACATCAATGGAGTCTAGTCTAGTAGTAGTTATGTATATGCATTATTAAGGATAACTCAAAAACTACTGGTCAGATCTTGATCAAATTTATATGGGACCACATAAGAATTTTGAATAATAAAAAAGAATCGTCAAAATCACATTAAAAATATACTTAGTCGAATTGAGAACCTCCTCTTTTTTTGAAGTTGGTTGATAAATAAAATAAACCATAATCATGTGAGAAATGTTTCAAATTACATTTTCCTTACATTAACTTCCTCTTCATCATCATTCATCTTTTTTGTTCTTGCCTACTGTTAACTTGTTAAAATGCTTGGCTCTATTTTGAATGAGTTCTAAAAAGTTTTTTTTAAGAGTTGTGAAAATCTTATCAAAGTGTCTGTAAGTTTTAACTTTAATAATTATTTTTATTTTAAAATTTAGGTCTTTACCACCAGAATTAAGTGAACTTAGAGCTCTCACAGCAAGTGGTTTAACAATAACACCAGCGCAACCTCCACCTCATGTAAGTTTGCTAATGAATTATTTTTAGTATTTGTAAGACTCTCGTAACATGTGTTTTAATAAGAACATTGTTTTTTGCAAACATATCCAAGATTGAAAAAGTAATCGTAAGTATTTTATCATATTATATATTACTGCTAAATTATCAACACTTTTCCATATAATAAGCATCTACTAACTACATGATACATTTTAGAGAAAATAATCTGGCCCGAGTGACAATGTGGTTCATAAAATAACCCTTTTCTATATTTAAGTCTGCAGTGCAAACATTTTACAGAAATATCTTATTCCTTTACTAGAAAAGTATGTTTTGAGTATCTACTTACAGAATACTGCCTGTGGGCAGTAAGCTATGAGTGGTCATTTTATATTAGTTTAGAAAAAAAATCATCTATCCATATTTTACAGCCTATACTTGTCCACTGCTGAACTCATAGGGGTTGCCACAAAGGGGAGATTTCACACCACCACTACACGGTTAAAATTTGTTACTATGTAGTTTAAAATTATATGTAATCTGCAATAATATTTTTACAACCATCATGTGTGTTAGAAATGTGTCGACATTCATGAGCTTAATTTGTAAGAGAAATCTTTCTCTTTTAAGCATAATGTTTCAATATTTAACCATCCCTATCCCTTCATTACGTGTTGTAATTAGTAGATTTGCAACAAATAGTATATTCGGCGATATGCCTATTACCGGATATTCTGCAGGCTTCCTGAATAGCCGAATTTTAGGCAAAAGTTTTCGGTTGGGTAGAAAGTAATGTTTATTCAGAGTGTCCATTCTATGAAGTTGGGATTGTGTAAAAGCAGAACAGGAGTAAACTACTGTCTGAAAATGCAGAAAAAATTAGTCTTTCTGCCCTATAATCTACCACTTTAATTTATATAATTCAAGTGCATAGATATTTATCTGATAGTGTTTTTATTTTAATAATACAGAAGTTGATTATGTAGCTATGACTAAAGTAAAGTCAATGATTACAAGAAAAATACATTATTATAAAATAAATCAATATTTTTATTTTACCAGTCATCTAACTACAACAAAACATCTTAAGTATTTGGTATTCAGCCGTAGTACCTAGATATTCAACCAAATAGGATAATAGAAGTAGGCTGAATACAGAATAATAGCCGAATATTTGTTGCAAGTCTAGTAATTAGTCAATCCTTATATCCCCTTAATAGTGTTATATGTTTTATGACCAACCATTATGTTCTAATAGTTGGTCATAAAACAGTCAATATTTTTGTTGTACTAAATGTGTCAAAATTGAAATTAAATTTGAATAAAACTATTATTTACGGATTATGGTTTATTTATTTTTTTATCCACTCTTACTGGATAAATGTCCGATTTACGCAAAATGAGCTTATAGTATCATGAAGTCTTGCAGTGGTATGCTTGGGTTTGGTTTAATTTTGTAAATTATAGGATCCCAAGCAGCTGGCAGCACCCATCCATCTTCTCTATTGAAATTTGGATGTTTTTTAATTTCAATAGCCTCGCGTATCATCCTTGGTAGGAATCGGTGTTCTTTTGAGAGGATTTGTGGTTTATCAAATCTCATGTAATGGTGGGGACGATCTTGAACATGTTCGCAGACTGCAGACTTACCGGAGCGTCGGTGCACCGACGAAGCATACCACTGCAAGACTTATGATACTATAAGCTCATTTTGCGTAAATCGGACCAAAAAATTAATATTCAAAAACTGAAGGTAGCTAGACTAACTTTGACATTGGGACGTCAAATATCTCAGTCCCCCCCGTGACCACGGGTGCTGTAAAGCACTCGAAACGTCGGGATAATAAAAATAAATTAAACGCGATAAAATCTGTAAATAATAATTTTATTCAATGTGTAGTGTTCGCGTAAATTTAAGAAATCATTATGAAATTAAATTGCAATAAAATTTAGATGCAGTATGCTGAGCAAGGGTATAATAACAACAAACTCTAATTGACTTTGATTTGCTTAAATTTTTCAATTGAATTGGTAATATACCAAAGAATGTATTGCATTACCGCAAAATTAATTACTTATAATATATAAAAAAAGCAAAAACATAAAGGTCGACATTTATAAGCTGATAATGAATTAACAGATCAATACAATATTTTTACTTAAAAATTTTTTCTTCTTTGACCATGTTGACCTTGACCGGTGTAAGAATATTCCTACCTCATATTGCTCTAATAAAAAAATAAAAAAACTGGTTGCCAACCTACATGCCAAGCGTGGCAACTATGTTTTATGAGACCATCATTGGAGGAGGTCTATGTTCAGCAGTAGATTTTGATAGGCTGCAATGATGATTTTTTCATTAAAAAACTATCTGTGAAATTATTTATACTTAGAATTAGGTGAGTGGAGATAATGTTTTTGTATATGATGTTATGTAAGCGTGAATAACTTGCATAACAATTGACGACTTTGCGCTATGCGCGCTTGTTTACATTGCTTTGTCTCAGAAGATAACAGCTTAACATAATGTGACCTAATTTATTAACACAATGGTTGTTTCGACATTTTGTTGTAGTGCATATATATGTATATATACGTGAGATTTATGAATAATAGTATCTAAATGTATGGTTATCGATTGATAATGTCGTTTTCAGTATTCTGGCGACTTAAGAATTGAAGGTCCAAATTGACTTGGAGAATATAATCGACATTATTTTTATCGTTCTTTTCCTTCATGTGTGACATGTGACTCTCCCGTTGTAGAAAGGATGGTTTGTCTTAATCATCACACTAAAGTCAGTTTTACAAAATTGTAGTTCTACTTGTTTCGTGTCTTTGACGCTCCCGAAAACGAGAAAAGAGTAAAAGAAGAATATTTGCCATAGTTGCCACTCTTGATCAGTTTTGTCTCTTATGCCTAACGACACCCACCCACGGAATGATAAGCGGGTAGTGGGTTCTCTTTCGCTGTTACAACACCACTGTCTAATACCTACATCTCATAATGTATAAACAACATTTAAAATATTCAGATGAGCTCGTTTTTACCACACATTATCGCGCGTCGAAAAAAGTGTAACCACTATCCAAACGCGACGACGTAGCTTTGAAACTAATAACAATTTTAAATAAACATATATCTCTCTCACTTACACAAGTTACGTAAACAATATCGTCGCTAAGATTAGATAAAGATAGACACACAAATATGCAATGGCGGGTTGGTGTGGCTTACTATATAAAATTTTACCTAAAATACGCAATAAAAATGAGTTTTTTTAAACTGCAGTTTAAAAAAACTCATTTTTATTGCGTATTTTAAAATTATTAATATAAGATAGGTAGTAAAATATATTTAATAGATAATTCATGAATAAAATAAAATAAGAATAATTAATTATTTTGTATGAAAGTTAAAACTAGTTTTATTATAATTTCCAAAATATTTAAAATCAGAGGTAACAAATTAACTTATTCCATTAATTATACGTCAATTAATGTAGGATAATCACAAATACGGAAAAGTGGCAACATTGAACCTAAATGACAATATTCGATAATTTTATTTAACTATTTGAGGTTTTTTACGTTTATATAAAAACAAGAACTAAAAGTTATAGTGTTGAAAGTGATTCCGCTTGATTTATTACGTTTTTGTGACCGTGAATAGCATTCTTTCCTTACGCATTTACCCATTTTTTGTCGCGGCTCAACTCTGTCGGCGTCACATTGAACACTGAACTGACGTTAGCTAGGCATATGGCTGTGGCCATATATGCAGTGGGAACGCTTTGACGCGGTTATTACTGATCTAGTGTAATATATAAATCAATGGAGCTACGTCAACGGTGCGCTCATGAATGTTTAACAAGTGGTAAAATTAAAAATTTTGTACAATCGACTTCAATATAAATAAAATGAGAACATCATACATGTAGTCGAAATCCATTGATTTATATGTTACACTAGATAAGTAATTTCCGCGCCAAAGCGTTGTCACTTCACATAAGGCCACAGCCTTATACTCAGCGAACGTCGGTTCAGTGTTCAAGGTGACGCCGTCCGAGTTAAGCCGAACGATTCACAACAAAAAATGGGTAAATGCGTAGTGAAAGAATGCGTTTCAAGGTCACAAAAACATAATAAATCAAGCGGAATCACTTTCCATACGTAAGTTTTAATTTATATATTCATATTAACGTTTAAAACACTAAAAAATTAAATAAAATATCGAATATTGCAATTTAGGTTCAATGTTGCCACTTTTCCGCCTTTGTGATTTTTCCACATTAATGGGAGACTGTATAATTTATGGAATAAGTTAATTTTGTTTTAAAATAAACAAGTAAAATTGATTGCTTAAAAATAAAAACTATGTTTCAACCTTTATACAAAATAATTATTCTTATTTTATTTTATTCATGAATTATCTATTAAATATATTTTACTACCTTATATCTTATATTAATAATTTTATATTAATTAAAATTTCATATAAATTTTATATTAATTATATTTCACTACCTATTTTATATTACTTGATTTATTAGTACAGTAAAAAATATTTATAAAAATATGTTTTATTTCATCATTATGTACTTCTAACTCATCTGATAAGCTTTGTATTCTTTTTTTCTAAGGGGACGCAATAAAGATTTTAAAATAAAATATACTTTCTTAATATAAAAACAATTAATTGAAGCTTAAAAAAAACTCATTTTTATTGCGTATTTTAGGTAAAATTTTATATAGTAAGCCACACCAACCCGCCATTGCATGTTTGTGTGTCTATCTTTATCTAATTTTAGCGACGATATTGTTTACGTAACTTGTGTAAGTGAGATAGATATATGTTTATTTAAAATTGTTATTAGTTTCAAAGCTACGTCGTCGCGTTTGGATAGTGGTTACACATTTTTCGACGCGCGGTAATGTGGTTTGCTCCTCTAGTGTTGTATAACTCAATGTCGAAATCAATGAAATACACATTATTAAGGATAACTCAAAACCTACTAGTCAGATCTTGAACAAATTTATATTTATATGGGACCACATGAGAAGCATCAGTTTTAAATTAAAAAAGAATCATCAAAATCTGTCTATCTAGAAAAAGTTCTGAGGTTACCTACACAGAAAAATATACAGTCGATTGAGAATGTCTTCCTTTTTGTAGTCGGTTGAAAAATACGGATGTAATGTTGCACTGAACATGTATGAAGCACCCTAGGTCCTAATTTTTTTTATATGATAGGATGACAAACGAGCACACAGTCCACCTGATGGTAAGTGGTTGCTGTGGCTCATAGACATCTTCATCCATCCTCGATTACGAATCAAAATGCAGATGCGTTGTCATCCGTGAGGACTTAAGTGGAATGCCTCGTTTCCAGTAAAAAGGGTCTCCGGATCTCTACACTTGTCATACGAAACACAGCAGCATTAAGCTACTATTTGACGCTGGTATGGTCGAGCCGACCCATTCGTGCTACAACTATACTACTAATATAACTGCAGCATGGCTCTACCACGTAAAACGTTTGTCATACGCAACATTCACACACGCATATATGTCGCCACGCAGCCTATATGCAGTGCGCTGCCTGCCGCGCGTTGCATATTGACGTCGATTGCAGGATCTTGTTGTATTTTTGTGTGTAAAATTTTTGTACCTGGGGTATTTCACACATTTTCAGTGTACTATCACGACCGTATTTTTTATGTCTGTGAGTGAGATCATCCATCTGGTACTGTGATGAATTCATTAGTAAAGCGTGACAATTACAACAAATGAAGGAAGCCCATGTCCAGCTATGGACAATTATAAACAATTGAATTGATTACATTCTATTCATTCATATTTGGTATTTGTATGTAATATGACATTTATTGTTACAGCCTATTCAAATTCTAATGCTGAACATAGTCCTCACCCATAGATTGCCTTAAAATTAGAGTATTTGCCATAGTTGACACACTTGTGGCAACGAGCATGTTGGCAACGGCAATTTTTAATATTTTACTTGTTATTAGGAAGATCCTTTTGCCCTGCTCCTGTTATGTTTCGCTTTGTCGCCTCTTACAATGGTAGTGGATATTATTACACCACCAATACTTGGTGAACAGTTTTGTAGCATTAAAAAAATGTTTATCATATTGTTTAGGGTGCTAGTGGGAAGCGTGTGTTGCGTCCACGCTCAGAACAGCGGAGCTATGCAGAAAGCCCTGACATTGTGTTGTTGCCGGCTGCGCCTCCGCATCGTAAACCTAATTTGCCCGCACCAGCACCATTTACAGGTATTTATATTTTTATTATAATGGATTTCCGCAAAGTAACGCCTGATTCTATCATTTTATTTATACCTTTAAACGAGCAATTCTTGATATATATATATATATATTTTTTTTATATATATATATATATATATATATATATATATATATATATATATATAATAAAATTTTGTGTGCAGAGAGTTTCGGGGGCAATAAATTAATCTAGGTGGGAAATGTCTTTTTGTCCGTGTTTTTAGGCAATGAAAAACTACAATATCGTTAGAATAAGAAGGTAAATTTTGACAGTTTATTAATGATTACAAATAACTTAATTGGTATATTGGGCGGTCACAAAATCGTAATACCATGGTTCGAGCCCAGACCGACCCACCGACTTTTATTAATTTTTTTTTCAAGTTGCTTTCCTTTTTGAGAAAATCTATTTTTTCGAGCCCTTTTTTTAGTATTTTTTAAAAACACGAAAATTTAAATTAAACTAATTGCACTCATGATTTTTTATTCAAATAACCAGTTCAGTTTTTTCTATTATGTCGCTAAGATCAAAAAATATTATTCGTATTTCATCAGTATGTAATTTGTATCTAAATATAATTTCCAAAACACACGAATTAAAAAAAAAGATCGAAAAATACCGGGTAAATCAACCGGGTACTATATATTATTCAATAAATGTTAAGAGACTATGGCCAAAATGAAATAGTTAAATTTTATATTTCCGTGCATATAGTGGGAAGAGAAATAATATTAATGAATGTACAATAAAGTTTGGCATCTTTACCAATGGAGGTTAACTTTGGCATCAGTGATGTACAGGTACAAAATTACGATTAATACGGACAACGTTACGTTTGTCGATATATGTTGTTTTTTGGATGAAAATTTAATAACAAATTGACAGAATTGTTTTCGATATGGTTACATGAAAGTTAATTTTGGCATATTATTTTAACGTGGCGACGTTTTTACGGCGATTTTAACGGCGATTTAACCTCCTTGCCCAGTGCTTCAGAACTTTTGTTGATTTTGTTTGAAATACTGAATGTATTCTGAGTCCGAGTCTATATCTTTGTAGTAATGTAATAATAATGGTTGGGTCACATAATATTTCGTTTTTGACTTGGTGGTCTTAACAATTTGTCCATAAAACTGACCTGGCAAAGTTACCATTCTGGTGATGCCACGATGTAACGTTAACTTTGCCATGTTTTGTTACAACCGAGGGTTGTCCCTTTCAACATACACATATTTTAAACCGATTACGACAAATCAAAGAAAATGTTCTGTCCTTGACATTCTATGTATGTTTGTATAGATGTTTAATTGTAGCAGCCATTTAGACCAGTTTTACGAAATAAGTTGTCAATCGATTCATCTTTATCACTAGTCCACTACTGTACATAGGGGGACCAAAGAACGCCACAAAGCACGGTCTTGAGCCACCCGTATCCATCAACTTACTGCATGTCTTGCCTACCGATAGGAGGCTGCCACTCGAGAGCCTTTTTTTTTCCATCGGCTGTCGCTTCTTCAAGCTATACTAACCCATTATGTCGGTCACTCTGGTTCTACCATGTCTGTGATCCATAAGTCATCACTGGCAACACGCAGTGGTTGTACAATCTCGTTTTCAAGTTTTGAGGTATACCTGACGAGAAGATGTGTTGTAATTTCCCGAAAGCTGCCAGGCCGAGTTGAATCCGTATATTGACTTCTCGGTCGAAGTTGGACTTACCTAGTTGGACTATTTGTCCCAGGTAAACATATTCGTCAACAAGGTGAGCTCAGTGCTTCCAACAACTCCTGGCATAGGTGTGACATGGATGTTACACATGATCTTTGTTTTGTCCATGTTCATCTTAACACCTATTCGTTGGGAGAGAGGTCATTGAGCATAGTGCTTAAGTTCTCCAGTGATTCTGTCGTAAGGAAATCAAAGGTGAGTGATGTACTCGTCATTGATGTTAATACCGTATCCTTTCGAGTCCAGTAGCTTGAAAACGTCTTCCAATGCATCGCAAAAGAGTTTCGGGGATATAACGTCATCCTGTTTTACACGATAGGTTTCATATTCTAGTCCTGTACTCGGATAGCCATCTAAGCCCTACTGTACCAACACTTCAGCACTTCGATTCACTTGATTTCGATAGCACCTCCCCTATTTCAACAGAATCAAAGACTTTCTCATAATCCACATAAGCAAGAAAGTGGCGGATTGTACTCTTCGGTATTGTGTACAATTTGCCAAAGGGTATTTATGTGGTCTATGGTACTAAAGCCTTTTCGGAAACTGGCTCTGCGGGAGGCTGGAAGTTGTCTAGTCTGCATGCGAGACGATTCGTAATGATTCGAAAACAGCATGTAGATGCGGCTCAGAAGGGAAATCGATCTGTAGTTCTTCAGGAGAGCATTGTCGCCTTCCTTGAAGAACAACACCACCGCATTTCTGTTCCACGCCTCCGGAGTTGAGCCACCATAAAAGTTAAATTTACAGCCTATGTATGCTCCACTGCTGGGCACAGGCCTCCTCTAGTTTCTGAGAGGGTTTTCGGGCAAGGAAATGTCCGTCGCGCTGCCCAATGCGTGTTGGGGTTTGCAAACTTCACGTCTTCGAAATATTTTTTTCTTCTTTCTTGAACGTGCAGGTTTTCTCACGGTGTTTTCCTTTACCGCTGAGCACGTGGTTAATCAGCATTTAAAATTGCAATTAAAAATTTCATTGGTGCCGGCGGTGATCGACCCCGGGTTGCACGCGTACTGTGAAATTTACAGCGAGCGCTAACCATCTGAGCTATCACGCCTCTTGTGCCATCATGGAGGATGGGATAAAAGAGCTTCTGAAGGACTTCAAGTACTGGTTTTCGACCCGCTTTCAGAAGTTTCGCTGCAACTCCATCCTCGCCTGGGTCCTTGCCTCATGGGGGATGTTTGCTATAGTTGCCACACTTGGCGAGTGGGTTATCAGAAAGATGCTGCTACCCATCTCATACCTGTTTCCCTCTGTCGCCTCTTGAAACACCCACAGGAAGACATGGGGTAGTGGATATTCTTAACCGTCACTACATGGCAATGAGATGAGAGATATTAAATAATAATTAATATACTGCTTTGAAGATGTGTGTTGTCCATATACTCTCATATGAAACTCCAAGCTTTCTGCTTCTGTTCTTACTCTCTCAGAGTGCTTTGCCAAATAATGGTGAACATGTTTGTTTACCGCTAGTAGACTTAGATTCTTCCAACCTGTACTGGAACAGTGGAGTTATCCCAAGCTATATACTCTTTAGGGATAGCAAGGTGAAGTTATCCCAAACTATACACTTTCTAAAGTAAAGAGACTTGGATTCAGTAGCTAAATGTTTAAGTTTCACTCATTTTTGAAATTGCTGCAGTGCAAGTGCACATGATGATTTCTATTGTAAGTAGCCAGTGCATGTTTTATACATGCTCTATAACTTTTCAATTTGGTAAATGCATCTTAATAACAAGATAAGTGTTAGCAACTTAGTCACTATGAGAGGTGTTTTAGGGCTTTTTATTGATTGATTTAATGATACATATTCTTGTCCCTTTCAGATGTTAGCAGCAAGCTGAATGCGGGCGTGAATGTATCAATAACGCCCAGTACGTTGTCCGTGCCGGCGCCAGATTCGCCTCGTGAGCCACGAGAAGACGAAGAGTCCGAGGAGGACGAGAATGAACCACCCCTGCCCATAGCTGGACATAGAGTGAGTGCGTTTACAGGACTTCTAAGCAATTTCATGAAACTTATTTATATGTATTTTGTGGAGTATAATTTTAATTTGTTTTAATTCCGTCGTCTTGTCGGTGCAGCACCAAGGATTAAAGAAAGAGAGATTAAAGCAATTATGTGTTTAACATCCTGTCCTGAGGTAACGGCTATCCCAAGAAAATATACAACTATTTTATTACTTTTAAATTTTTTTGGAGTGAAAACTTCTTTAGCGGCGTTGGACACTTTCTGTAATGGGTAAAAATTGTTAGATCGAAAATGCGTAAGACGGACGGCGTAGGAGGGGAAGTATCCCCCTCTCTTTCTTCTGCGCGGCGGCCTGATGTTTCGTTTAGGCGGCACAGGACGCTTGCGCGAATGTAATATAAATTGTCATGTTTGTGTACGATACAGTAATTGGTGCGATTGGCGCAATAAATAAATATTGTATTCTACCACATAAATGATAGTACTTTTATACTACTAATTAAAGCGATTCATGCAAAATTATTCCCTAACCATTCCAAAATATCAAAAATGCACAATGTTAATATTCAAGTTTTTACTTCTGCCGGCACTCCCGGAGTGCAACCGTCGTTTTTTAGAGTTAAGAAACATTAAGAATGTGATAAAATTTATCGTCATAAAATCTGAAAAGTAATTAGTTATATTAAGTTTTCGCGTAAATGTAGAAAAAAAAATTTAATCCAGATATTTTCTTGTAGGAGTTATCAAGTGCTGAGATATGGGAGCGGGAACGCAGGCTCAGAGCTCTCAGAGAAAAATTGCGTGCAGAGGAGACTCGTCTAGTTCTATTGAGGAAGCTACGTCAGTCGCAGCAAACAAGTGGCATTCCTCCTGCAAAGGTACACATTATTTCATCATCAAACTGTTGCGGAAGACCTATTTAAAATTGAGGATTTTCTTTAATTTTCATGTTTGATAAGCAAATCAGCTGTCACTTTAGCAGTTTCTATGAAAAGGCATAATATAAACATTTTGAGATATTCATTTGTCTGTCTACTTTATGTCGTAATTTTTTTCTAGCATTTCCATTAGTAGATTATTATGGTACACAACTAATGACACATTGAACTAAGAACATTGGCTACCAAAGGCATGAAATATTATTAATATTCTCAGCAAAGTGAATTACATACATGCTACTACTGGGTAGAGGCTACAGGCCTCCTCATTTCTGAAAAAGTTTACAAAGCAATTAGTTTGTCGCGTATCTCCAGTGTAATTGTTCTTAGTAAATAGTTCAAATTACGTTTGCAGGACTCAACGACTGGTACAGCATTGGCAGGCAGTGGCTGTGTAGTCCCTCCTGGTGTGACAGTGACGCCAGCTCCTCCGCCTGCCCACCAGCAGAATAAGGTTTTGTTTTTACTTTTTAGATTAAAAATAAAATAAATAGTTAAAATACATAATAAATAGTTTAATAAGAATATAGAGTAGCACCCATAGAATACTGTTAGTGTCACTAACACGTCAATTCACACGTATAAATGTCAACACAATCATTCGTTTCCAATTTTCGTGTCAAGCGTCGCTGCATGCAAATTATTTAAAAAATAGCAAATTGTGCAATAATTACGTGACGAAAGAACAGCGGGAAATGGAATTTAAATAAGGGAGACATATTCTACAACTATTAGTCGAAACTATTTATATATTGTGAATATTAGAAACAAAAATAAAGAAACATATATGTGTCAAAAACATTAATCAAAAGTCTAAAGTGTGTTACTTTATTTTAGTTTAGTTTACGACGGGCTGTTTTCCGCAACTCCACGTCTAAGCGCGTATTTTGCGTGTGGGCAGGAATAATATGCTTATTAGAGCCATGATATCTCCCTGAAGGAGCTCAGCAGTCCCTTGATGTTGCAAGCAACTTCGGGGAGCGATCCCGGCGTGCCGAAATGTTTAGCCCTGTATGAAGCGACTTCTGGACATGAACACGTGAGCCGCCGTTTCTTCCTCTCCCATGCATGCTCTGCACAGGGGGCTATCAATAACACCTATGGTGAACAAATGTTTGTTAAAAGAGCCATGCCTTGTCATAGCACTTGTTACTATCCTGATCTGTGGCTTGTTCAGTCACATTAGAACCTTGGTTAGACGACTGTTTATTTCAGGCAGGGCCTCTCTAGCTTGTCTACAGTCTACTAAATTTTTCCAAAGCTGAGCGTGTAAATTATTGAAGTATCTACGTATCAGTGAACGAACATAGCCAAAGGGGATTGGTATTATTGGTTCTGGCCCTATAGTTGCTAGGGCCGATCCCCTTCTGGCCAGTTCATCTGCTGCATCGTTGCCTCTAGATCCACTGTGTCCCTTGATCCATTGCAGAGTCACATTGTTGTGCTTACATACCTCATTCAATTGTTGATGGCACTCGTATATCAGTCCCTAGTTCGTCACATTGCAACTCAGAGCATGTAGTACCGCCATACTGTCAGTCAGTATTCTGATGGAGAAGTCTTTCACCTTCCTAACATCTGTTGCTATGGCCGCTTGGATGATACCCATGCATTCAGCCTGGAAGACTGTTTTGTGGGTACCCAGCGGTGTGCATATGTGGATATTAAGGTCTTCAGAGAAAGCCCCAGGCCCCACACCTTCATTTGTCTTAGAGCCATCCGTGAAAACTTTGAGCTCTCTCTAAAGTGTGTTTGTAATAGTGATAACTGATAATACGACATAATTGCTTGTATTGTGCTGCCAGCGACGCCGATCCTCGTACAAAGTAAGGTTGAAAGCCATTCTATAGTGTTTTATAGTATTCTATGTAGCACCCATTATTGTTTCATACACAACTAAACCATAATAACTTTACAAAAAAAAATACAATTACAATCAAAATCATTGATAAATATATAATAAGTTCAGTATATTATAAATTGTTATATTTATTGTAGTCATCACTTATTATAGAAATAATTGAAATTAAAATATTATGTCTATATTATAATATTGTACATGTAAATTTTTGTATAGGGGTTTGGATGTTTGTTATATAATCAAGACAATAATTACTAATTTTTATACAATACAAAAAAGTTTAGACAATCCAAAAGTGCATACCTCATAACGCTCAATTACTTTTTAATAGAAAAATAAATTGTATAATTAATTTTAAAAGAAAAAAAATATTAAGTAAATTTCTGACAGAGCATTTTCTAATTTTTTTTATTAATGGCGCTCATTTTTCGTGTTATATGTGCGCGCTAAGTTTAAAAAAGAATATGTCTAACCACCAGTTGTATTATAATAATGTAAGTATCGCCTACGTAATGAGTAGTAATGAAGCTAATTTGTCAAATCAATTCATATTATTTAAAAATATCGCTTTTTGATAGTAGTGAACTCTTCTAGTGCTGAGTTATGTTTCTAAAAAGAATCTTAGGCGCCATCGTTTTCACGTAAGAGAAATGAGAAATAAAATATATTTTGATTTTGTAACTGTGTCACATAGTGAATTTTTTTTTAAATATAAAATCATATTATCAATAAACTCGCTATATCCGCGACTTCGTTTGCGTGGAGTTAGTAATTTTGTTATGATAATTGATGATGATTTATTTGTACATTGTTACAAAATATTATAAACGGCTGAATAATATGGAATTTGACACACAGATATACCATGTTGTGGATAAAAAACATGGGAATTTTTTTACCACATAAAAATGATCTTGGGAGGTTTTCTGTTTCCACACATGCAAAGCTGCAGGCAGAGGCTAGTGCTAGTGGTTGTATATATAACTAAAAACATTACAATACTGAAATATAAAAAAATAACTGAACAGTTATCAGGAATTTGCAAAAAATGCTGTATGTTTAAATGTCGTGGATTATTGCAGCGCGCGGGTGCAACGGGAACTACGGGCAACAACTTGTCTTCGAGCGCTCGCCGACCCTCCAGCCTGCCGGGCGGCGCTACGCTCACACCGGGGCCCTACCGCTCGCAGGTCAGTCCAACTAACGCACCCACTGTCTTTGAATTGTTAGATTCATCTCCATCCCAAGTTTGTCATAGGCTACACTTTATTATGATAATGACTGCCTCGTTGGTCTAGTGGTTGTAGTAGTGCGACTAGGTAGTGCGAAGGAACAGGAAGCATTATTATTCTAGTGCTGCGATGAACCTTGTGAAGCTAGATAGCTTGCAGGATATGAAGACTGCAGACGATATCTGCTTGGGAGCGAATGGGTGGGGTATTTTATGACGATGATGAAGCTTGAAGTTTCCGAAGGTTGTTGCTTGTGTGTTCAGATCACGTCGGGGTTACCAGTTAAGGGAGGTTAAGCTGGGCAATGATGGCCTTTCACTCTTCCAAGAATATAATGTTTTCCTTTTACACAAGGACAGTTTGCAACACGGATATATAAGCAAAACAAGAGATATTAAGATAAACGTACAAATAATTAAAAAATAGGGCCAAAAATAGATTTGTGCGATTTTAACGGCAACCGTTACTCCGGCGGCGCAAAACGTGGGATAAGGTCCTGGATTCGAATCCCGGGTCGGGCCAAAAAAACAATTATTGAGTTTTTCTGTCAAGAAATTCTCAGTAGCTGCCCGGAGTCAGAAAGTTGGCGGTGTCTCACCGCCGTGCCTCGGAAAGCACGTAAAGCCGTTGATCCTGCGCCTGATCTCTTTCCGGTCGTGTCGGTTTACCGTCCCATCGGATTATGAGAGTGAGGGAATAGAGAGTGCACCTGTGCTCGCGCATACACTTGGGCACTATAATCCTGTCCTGCGCCGATGGCTAGCCTCCGTTGAGGCAGGCCGCCGTGGCCGAAAATTGGGTCTGGAGGATTATTATTATGATAATACCAATATTTATTTATTTATCTTTTTAAAGCTATGAGTTTATACAAATTTAAAGGTACTCCAAGAATTGCTCAAATTACTCACAAAAACTTAAAATATTGGTTAGAATAATTTTTAACCAAGTTTTTAGTAGAAAAGTGTTTCACTCATTTTAAACTCTTTTTTGCTAATCGATTTTACGATAAATTAGTTTTTCGTAGATTCCAAAGTCATAGACATATACTTGATACTGTCGGGCTTAGGAAAAACTAGTTTGCCCTAAAATCAAGCTTAGCTGGTAACAAACTACTTTTGACTACAGGCTTCAGTCAAAACTACTTTTGACTGAAGTCAAAATCACTTGACTGCTTTTATGAAGTAGTTTTTACAGGGAAACATTCCTGAATGGAAAAGAATAATTTCTATTCATATTATAAGAGGGCTGGTTCTTTACTCGCTCAAAGGCTTAGTATAGCTATTCAGCGAGGAAACGCAGCCAGCGTTCTTGGCACAATACCATGGGGAGCGGGACTTTTTAACTATTTAAATTTTTAGTGTTAGTTTTTCTATATTATAGTTTCTTTTTTTATATTGTGTATAATTAATATTAATTGAAAATATTCTATAGTGTGTAAATAAAGTATATTGAATTTTATTCAATATAGAGATATTGAATTTTATATAATATGTAATCCTTATTTTTCGTGACAGTCATTTTTAACTTTCACCACTGGTTCGGAAAATACTTTTTATCATTTTTATTTGATTTTCTATTGTGTTTGTGTCATGTCGTATTCTTGTATGTTATTGCGTCGTTGTCAATATTATCAACTGGATAAAATGTGTTGTCTAGTATATTTCCGTTTGAATCTTTCAGCATCTCTTCATTAAAATTAATATCTGTAAGCTTAAATATTCTATAGAATTTATCCCATTTAGTCTCTTGTGATTGTCCTGTGCAGTATTCTCTGTCTTGGAAAGAATCGGCAAGAAACCTAGCGATACTTTTTTTAAATAAAATTAATTTACTGAGTGTAACGTTAACATTGTATTCCGGTGACAGAGTTCATCGAGTGGAGGCGCCAGCATCACTCCGTCGGTGACAATAACACCAGCCCCGCCCCCAGCCGCCACACAACATGCACAGCCTAAGGTAAATATACCATTCAATTTAAAACATTCTATTTTTCATGTGCCAAAGTAAATAAAAAAACTTTTTTTATGGTAGATTCTTTATGTAATTCAATTTCAAAAAAGTAGTTTCTTAATTTGGATATACATTTTTATAGGTTTTAACGCAACTGTTCTAACATTTTACTTAACCAGAGTTTTCTTTTTTAAATTTAAACACAAGTTACACCTGTGCAGTTCCATAAAAATTTCAGCTAGGTCCAATGTAAATAATACTCTATTATATTTTTTAATGTAATAATTATATGCAAAGTTTTTTGATGGTTACCAATTAGATCAAGTGTTATTATTTATTAAAAAGAGGTTTCAAAATTGTTTCAATTTTTGAAATTATATCATATTTTTGCTTATGTTCGAAATAAAATGTTGATCAATATAATATACATAAATATATATTTTATTACAAGCCTGCTCAGGACAATTCATCTGTCACCAGTAGCACGAGTGATGCAGTGAGTATGGAAAAGTGATGTCACTTTTTCAATATTAACCTATAATTATAACTAGACTTAGACATTTTATTATTATTTAATTCATTTAATTATCGTGGAATACATTACTTTAAAACATTTTCGCAGTTCAAAGCTTCAATTAGCTGGTTGATTGGAGCACTAGGTCTATTGTAAACGCCGGCATTCAAGCAAATGTAGCTTTTTATTTGAATTACAATGACATGTAATATATTAATAGTGTTCTTTTTTATGGGATAAAGGTGACAAGCGAGCACACAGTCCCCCTGATGTTAAGTGGTTGCCATCTATTCTCGATTACGAATCAAAATACAGAGGCGTTATCACCCGTGAGGACTAAGATGGAATGCCTCGTTTCTAGTAAAAAGGGTCTCCGGTTCTCTACATTGACCATAAGAAACACAGTAGCATTAAGCTACTATTTTACGCTGATATTCTGTGAGAGCGTGGTCCTTCCCCGGTCGAGCCGACCCATTCATGCTACAACTATACTACTAATATAGCCGCAGCTTGGCTCTGTCACGTAAACCTGACGGAAAGTTTCGATAAAACTGAATCATGACTCATGAGAGGAAATCCTTTAAATTTAATTTCCCTTTTCGTTACTGCAGTGTTAATAGTTATTTTATAAGATGGCGGCTTCAAAACTTTATATGATTCAAATGATTTTAACTGTCGTTTCTGATAATTTAAGCTGCAGATAACATGGATGTGCCTACAAATATTAGCCAACTCATTCCTTATAAAATGAAGTGATAAAGTAAAATTTCTTTTATTAAATGTCATATTTTAAATCTACTAGAAATGATGTTTTTCTGGTCATAATAGCTGTAAATTCACTTACATGTTTTACAAATTACGCACACTCATTATTACTAAAAATAATTCTTATTATATAACTAAAATCAAACATAATCAAGCTACACAAAATATTTTAATTTATTCATTTAAAAGTTTAAAATACAGAGAAACGATTTAAACACCATAGCAAAGTGGCATATTATGTTAATTTTAGTTACGAACAATGGCGGCGCTTCAAATCGGCACAAACATTTTGTAGGTTAGAGCCAGTCCAGCATATTTGTATATATAGAGGTCAGTAACCATGTTAATAAGTCATGCGAAAATTTTTGTTCGTAATTAATGGTATGCCTTTCCATCGATTTATAGATAGAATCGCATGCATTTGAATAGATCTTGTAAAAATCGATTCCAAAATTGCAATAAAGGTTATGAAATGTAGATGCATATCCAACTTAAAAATGTTTACAACAAATGTCAAAACATAATCGTTTTGAGCGTAGAAAATTCTTTATGATGAGATAAATTATTGTTAGTTGAATATATTTATGGGTTTGTTTCTCAAGTTTTTCAGAAAAGTACATGTTGTAGTGAAGTCTCATACAAAAGCGAAATGACTTCTTTAATAAACATTGTAGCTGCTTATACTAATGTGGCATAGATTATAAATTCTAAGATATATCTAGTTATATCTAATCTCATTCTTGCTAAAATATTTCAAATTGATCATAATACACATAAATATTAGTCAATAATAAAGTAGAAGTTGAAGTTGAACATATCGTTATCAGTTGCCTCACAGTTGTTAAGAGTATAATCCCCATGAATAAACAAGAATATGTTTTTCTTAAATAAATTTTGGGAATTTTCTAGTTCTGTATGAAATTTATTTAATTATTTTATTTAATTTATTTCAGGCAAGCTCCCGTAGTTCTGATGACACACAAACACCTGCCCAGAGGCAGGCCGCCGCTAAATTGGCGTTGCGTAAGCAACTGGAGAAGACTCTTCTTCAGGTGAATTTCATTCTTCTGTTCTCTTCTCTTCTCTACATTAAGTTTTTTCAATGCATTTAGTTGTGTTGAATATTTAAGAGAGTTTCCAATCAACTTGATAGATGGTGTCTGCAGGCCACCAACCCATAGACATTTATTTACAGTAACTTAACAAAGAAAGAGAAAGTAACTGTAAATGTTTGTAAAAATTTATTATAACAGATTGTTGTAAGAACATATTTTGAAATTAAAAATGATATTTGTGCAGTAATTTTCTATATTTAAAAATTAATTTGGTCTTTATTAATAGATTCCTCCACCAAAACCCCCGCCGCCGGAAATGAACTTCATACCCTCACCTAGCAACACAGACTTCGTGTACCTTGTCGGGCTCGAACATGTTGTTGACTACCTTACCAATGAAGAACGGTAAGTTGGTGTTTTATGTTTACATTCAAAACTAGATGTATGGCTCGTTATGTGGTACGCTCTGAATGAAATTGGACTCAAAATTGAAATTTAGTTACAGACATTTAGAAAGACGTAATTTGTTGCATGTTGAATGATGATAAATGTACCTGTAGTTACTGTATACTGTATGTAAAGGAACAAATGGAATAATAACAGATAACAATAGATAGATAGATAGATAAAAGCGTTTATTTGTTTCTCCAATCACACACGTAAATTCAGTGAATAAACTAGATATACAAATCAAAGTATTATGAAAAAAAAAATACATATAATTATAAATCAAACAATTTCAATTTTGGTGTTTATAAAATGAATAGGAATCGTGGTTGGATGTCTTAATAACATTCGACAATTAGGTTTATTTTTATTTTGTAAAGGTATAATCAATTACAAGCTAATGTCTTTTTACTGATTCTCAAAAAAAGAAGGTTTACAATTTGACTATTTGGGGTAGTCGATATTCTTACACCGCTACTACACCGTGGATGTTATGAGGCGACAGAGGGAAACAAAGCCAGAGATGGATGGATGGAGATGGCCAGCAGCGTTTTCCTAATAACAACTAAAAATTGAATACTGCGGTTGCCATCACGCATGGTAAGCGTGGCAACTGTGGCAAATATCCCTCCTCGAGCCAATCTATGGGGAGGCCTATGTTAAGTAGTGAACTTTCGTAGTCTTTAATGAATGGATAAAATAAAAAAGACCCTAATCAACGGTAGTGTTGCGAGTTGTTGTTGTTGTTGTGGTATCGTGGTGACAACAAGGGCAACCACGACTTTTTCTGCCACTTTGGAATGAGGTGATATTGTTGGCAAACTGTCCACTTCAATGTCATTTTCTCGTGTATTTGAATATTAAACTTACCTATTATAAATATTTTATCGAAATACAGGTAAAATTGTTTGATGAGAAAATGTCAAATTTACTTACAAGTTTTTTTAATTTTGTATCAATAAGAATAAATAATCAAAGATAGGACGCCCAAAATAGTTCGGGAATCCCCGCGTCGATTCAGCTTCAACATGTTATATGATTCAAACGATTTTAATTGTAGTTTCTGATATTTTCAACCACAGAAAACATAGATGTGCCTACAAATATTAGCCAATTCATTTCTTATAAAATGTTATTTTAAATCTTCTACCATTTCGAAATGAAGTTCATCTGGTCAGAGAACGCACGGCGAAAGAAAATCCTCAGATTTGCCCTTTTTTGTTAGTCAATATTACAATAGCATATTACATACAGAATGGAAAATGATAACTGACCCATCGGTAATTGAAGCATGTTCTTAATGAACTCAAAAAGGACTTTAACATTTTGAAGCATGTCAGTTTACAGTGAACCCAAGCAGTCTGTATAAACGTATGATACATGTAGCAGTCTTCTCCCTAATACAACCATATCAAAGTGAAGTGGACGACCCATTAAACATTACATTCAGCAATTTGGTTATACTTTCTTTAGGCATTTGATTGAATACCATTGTTTATCCATAAAAGTAGCCATCCAATAAAGTGGATGTTTAGACAATCTAGCTGCGATATATTATTATGTAATACTACAAAATTTAACTTACCCCTTTCTAGTTAAAGATCTTGTGATATACCTTAGTCTACACAATAAAGTAAAAATGTAAAGCCAACTTAAATTGTTACATACATACATAATACATAAACACTCAAGCGTAGTCACCAGAGACTACGGCCTTTCATTTGGCACAATCCTAACACACCTTTCTCACCTCCTCCACATTCATATACCTACGCATACATGGTCGTCGATTAAGGGTACTCTTAATCTTGCCCCATCTTCAATATATCACTGATTTGGTCGATAAGTTTTCGTCTGGGGCGTCCCTTCCTGAGTCTTCTGTTCAATCTTTCCTCGTTCATTCTTTCTACATGACCAAACCACTGAAGCATTCCTTTCTTAATCCTGGTCATAACATCATCTTGCAAACTACACTCTTCTTTTATCACACAATTTCTCACCCTGTGACTTAGATTCAGCCTTAACATACTCCGTAATGACCGCATTTCTACAGCATTTATTCTAATTATGGGCTTCTGTCACAACCAACTTTCACTAACGTACATTATGGTAGGGACTAGCACAGCATTGTTAATTGCCATTATGTGCCTTTTTTTGACACATTCTATCTTCCCATATTAGAGTAAAGAGCTCCATTTACTCTATTTCCTGCGTTCACTCGTCATTCTATATCCTTATCATATCTATCATCCATGCTAAATACACATCTTTAAGATGAAAGATTACAACGCAAACTAATCCACTTGCTCAACCAACTCCCATTCTATTCTTATTTCACATAACGTTTTACCTCTCTCTCTCTCTATTAAGACGTTGGCGGCATCAGACATCTGTTACTACCACTGCGTTACAGCGTAAAATATATGTAGATATAAAAATAGAGAGGAGATGAAGGTGTGAAAGAGAATCATAAATGTAGATTGTGGGAAAATATTAGTGGTTTGAATGAATTGTGTGAATGAATTAGATTTGGAGATTGTGAGGGATAACGCTAAGTAAGGTTTGGTGGATGTGGGTGGAAACTTTTGGATCCTTTTTTTTTTTTCTTTTTGCAGCATATAATCTGATTTTTCATTACCATGGCAATATAGTTCTTATTTTAATTTAAAGCAAGATTTACGAGATTTTTTGGTAACTCAGCGGAACAAAATCAGTCTTCGTACTGAAAATACTTATCCCGAACCTAGGTGACGTAACAATTTATGATTTTTTAAAAAAAAAGTTGTATGAATGAAAGTTGTTGTGGTGTTTCGATTCAGAATTAATATAAGCTTTTGTCGTCCCTAAACATGTGTCCCAATTATTGTTAAAAATAACTATTCTATTGCGTTACTGTAAAATTTTGAAGACAATTTCTTGGTGTCTAATTATATGTTAGTGTAATATGTTATAATAATATGGTGTCACCTAGGTTCGGGAACAAGTATTTTTAGTACTAAGACAGATTTTGTTCCGCTGAGTTACCATAAAATAGCAAATTGCAGTCGAGTAAATCCACTGAGTTACTTGACTGCAATTTGCTAAAATATTAAAATAATTGTCACATATTAGCTTCCGAAGTCGGGGTCGCCACTTGCCCGATCTTCAGCTACACGCATCCAGTTTCTACCAGCCACCTTGCGCAGATCTTCGCTCCATTTGGTCAGGGGGCGTCCCACACTACGTTTGCCTAGACGCGGTCTCCACTCCATAACACGTCTTACTCCACCGTTTGTCACCTCTGCGACAGACATGACCAAGCCCGTTGCCACTTCAGCTTACAAACACGGAAAGCTATGTCAGTAACCTTGGTTCTCCGGCGGATTTCTTCATTTCGAATTTTACATTACACAATAAATAAAAAAAAAACATTATGCACTTTTAGTAATTTTTTTAAAATCTAATAATATATTAAAAAATGGTCGACATACCAGATAATACGCGCTTATAAACGGTCGGCTGCCAAAGTGTTAATATTTATTTCAATAATATTAGTTATATTTCGAGTTAATTAGACTAGAAATGAATAAACCATACTACAGATATTAGTAAAAGTAGAAAAATTCAAGAGTTAAAAATGTGCAATAAATTAAATAGCCAACCGCTAGAGCATTGTTTTGTGTATTAACCTATTCTAGAAACCGATAAAATTTTATTTAAAACACACCTTCTGAGTTATAATGACATTGTGTAATAAATAAGTTCATCTCAGTCACAACTAGCGACATCTGGTGAGCGGAAGATTATTAGCTCTCATAACGATTACATAAAAAGCTACGGGCTTATTTGTACTAACAAACGAGAATATAAAAACGACACACCAATCAATGGTCGTGCTGTGTTGTTGTTAATATTGTTGTGGTATTGGAGTGACAAATGATAAAAATACATGTGATGTATATGTGTGTGTGTGTCAGCATGCCGCGGGCGAGCGTGCCCGCGGTGTGCGCGCAGTGCGGCTGCGACTTCACGGCGGTGTGGCGCTGGGAGCGCGCGCCGCCACGCCGCCAGGATGCCACCTTCAGCTGCGCGCCCGCCGCGCGCCGCCTCTGCGAGCTGTGCGTCTCCGGCAACGTGAAGCGCGCGCTCAAGGTATGTGCACACTGCGCCCCACGAGCTGCTCGTGCTGCACGTGCCCACGCAGTGCGGCTGCGACTTCACGGCGGTGTGGCGCTGGGAGCGCGCGCCGCCGCGCCACCAGGAGGCCACCTTCAGCTGCGCGCCCGCCGCGCGCCGCCTCTGCGAGCTGTGCGTCTCCGGCAACGTGAAGCACGCGCTCAAGGTACGTGCACACTGCGCCCCACGAGCTGCTCGTGCCCGCGCAGTGCGGCTGCGACTTCACGGCGGTGTGGCGCTGGGAGCGCGCACCGCCAGGATGCCACCTTCAGCTGCGCGCCCGCCGCGCGCCGCCTCTGCGCGCTGTGCGTCTCCGGCAACGTGAAGCGCGCGCTCACGGTACGTGCACACTGCGCCCCACGAGCTGCTCGTGCCCGCGCAGTGCGGCTGCGACTTCACGGTGGTGTGGCGCTGGGAGCGCGCGCCGCCGCGCCGCCAGGATGCCACCTTCAGCTGCGCGCCCGCCGCGCGCCGCCTCTTTCGCAAATTTCAAAACTCATATTCAACGCAATTATTTTAACGAATTTCCGGCCACACTGGCGCTGCGTCATCCCATGTAATCCATATCAATATCAATAAAATCTTTAATGGTACTCATTTTACTTTGCAAATGAAACTCAAAGTAAAAACGTAATTAGCTTGAGTGCTATCATCCACAAACAACTGTGGGCTGCCCCTCTGACGTCACAAGCAGTACACCCCTTCTCCTTCGTCTCGGGGGCTTTCAGTCAGTTGAGTGCGTATTGCGTCAAGGCAGCGCACCGTGTGTTCACAGTGGTTATTATTATGTAAAACGACGCAGTGACAAGCGCTACGTCAACGCAACGTTGATGCAACGCGCGGTTGTGGCCTTACCCTTATTTTTTTCACAATGAAAGTTCTTTGATAGTAGTAGTGAATAGGCGCGTTTGTGTGTGTCTGTGATTCGTTCGACTCGTGATTGTGACTAAATGCTCCCGAGACCTACGCACACAAACACAATGCGTATGTGCACGGTTCACGAAACCAAAGGCAACCCTTCGTCGTGAATTATGTTTATGTTTGGAAATTAGTCAAGTTCTACAGAAATCTATATAAGTTACATAAATCAGGAAAGTGGTCTTAAAATTCTAAAAAAGGACTTTATTTTGTAACTAATCCTAACTAAACTTGGTGTTGTAGAACACCAGCGTGAAATAGTAGCATATTGCTGCTGTGTTTCGTATGATGAGTGTAGAGAACCGGAGACCCTTTTTACTGGAAACGAGGCATTCCATCTTAGTCCTCACGGGTGACAACGCATCTGCATTCTGATTTGTATTCGAGGATAGATGTAGATATCTATGGGCCGCAACAACCACTTACCATCAGGTGGACTGTGTGCTCGTTTGTCACCCTACCCTATAAAAAAAAGATTTCTTTATTTTATTTATCGTGAAAATTTTTTTTCTTTATTTTATTTATGTAAATATTTTTTTCTTTATTTTAGACCTAACCACACTAAACTTGGCATATAGCATTCCACTTAAAACATTCATCTGTATAACTATTATCTTTTTCGTTCAATATGTTCGGTTTACTACATAAATATTATTAGTTTGTATACATATAATGTACGTAATAACTATTGGATATAGCGTCGTCGGTTGGATGATCTTTTCGATGTTGTATTAAGCGATGTTTTATATATATACATGTATTGTGTAGGCGGAGCACACGGCGCGGCTGAAGACTGCGTTCGTGCGCGCGCTGCAGCAGGAGCAGGAGATCGAGCGGCGGTTGGCCGCGCCCGCGCCCTCGCCGCCGCCCGCGCCACCGCCCGCGCACGCCGCGCCCGCGCTCGCGCACGCGCCCGCGCACGCGCCGCACGCGCCTCACACGCCGCATACGCCGCACACCCCGCACCAGACGCACGCGCACCGCGCCGCGCAGGTACACGCACGAATTAACTTGACAACGACTATTTAAATTTTTTTTTATACAAAGTAGCAGCGTTACAGCTTATAATTACTTCCAAAACTAAATCCGTCGTACAGTTAACTTAGCCTAGTATTTATATTAAAATATCTCTTACTAAGCAACCCGTGCTATGACGCACGGCCTAATTCTTATGAGTGCTTGTGAAGCAGATATTAGAGGGGTCATCACACTTAACCCACGCACGTACGCACACGGACGCGCTGCACCAGCCGCACGTATACCGTGCCGCGCAGATACACGCACGCACACACGTACACGAACGCGCTGCACTAGCCGTACGTATACCGCGCCGTGCAGATACACGCACGCACACACGTACACGGACGCGCTTCACCAGCCGTACGTATACCGCGCCGCGCATATACACGCACACACACACGTATAGGGACGCGTTGCACCTTCCGACCTTTCTTCCGACCCAAGCATCGCGATTCCCCAATCCATACAAGTTGCATGCGTTGGGCATCGCAAAACTCACATAGGTGCGAAAATATGGTCAGTCGATCATAGTCAGCATAGGTACTTCACGTAAATAACTTAATTACCATTTCGCAATGTATTTTTTTACTTTTTGTTGACAACCCTTAGTAACCATGGAAAGTCGGCCGTGACGTAGGAGGGGGAAAAGATGGAAAGTAATACAGACACTCGCGCGCAGCGATAAAGTTTTATTTATCTTGCGTGCTCGATTTATCTAATTAATAATAATTATGTAAGCTATTAAACGTCGACAAGCAGTCAACATAAAGGAGTGCAATTTCTGTACGTAGTACTATTATTAAATCTGTGGCCGCACGTACACCGCGCCGCACAGGTACATGCACGCTCACACGTATACTATAAATTACCAAATTACCTGGCAAGTGCCTCACTCGCACGCACGCAAACACACATCATAAGCACGCGCGCGCACGCGCATTTACACATAGTAAACAGGTAAGTGCCACAGTAAATATTTTACTGGTGAGTACCTATCTAAAATCAATGCTCCATTACAACATTCGGGTTGATCAACACTCTTCATTTTCGTAAAATTAAAAAATTTACTTATATTTCACTTAACATTAATTTAGGTTTTTAGGGTGCTCAAATAATGTAATATAATTAACTTAAAAATTACACTAAACAAAACTAAATAAACTATAATTATTCTTTTAGTAAGGATTTGATTATGAATCAATCGCCAAAGGAAAATAAAGTACCCGCCTAAACCCGCGGCGAAATACCGCCGCGTGTTTCTCAACCTATTAATTTTAAAATAAAAATATGGGAAACCATATGGTCTACGAATATAAATTCATCGTCGAATACACTAAAAAAGTGGCTTCCATTTTCGAAAACTTCTTTATTGACCAATCGGATTGATTTTAAAATAGATTTCTGAGAGTTCTTGTCAAGAAAAACGAAACTGTTTTGAAGATTTAGGAAAAGTTTGCCTTATTGAAACTCTTTATTAATGAACCGATTTCTACCAAAATCGATATCTGTGAGGAGTTCTGATCGCAAAGATCGATGCTTTTATTATAATCTAAAAAATGGTGGCTATTTTTAAAATTACTTGTAAATGGATTGATTGCTTTTATAGTTGATATTGATAAACCATATGGACTCTTAGATATAAGCTTTAAAAGTTAAAGGTCTAGAAACTAAATTCAAAAACAACTGCTATTTTTAAATTCTGTCGTACGTGTCGTAGTTGTTTTTATGTTGTAAAATTTTAATGATTTGTTTTCGAAGACCATACAGACTCGGATGGATTTTAAAAACAATCGGTTCATTAACCAAATATTCAAAATGGCGGCCTCTTTTTTTATTCTGAAAACGGATATGTGATTTTAGACGACACGGATTCTCAGATATCAATTTTGAAAGCAATCGGTATAGTAAAAAAATGTTCAAATTAGTGGCCACTATTTAAATATATATAATGATCGGAACATGGAAGTATCGTTAAAAGTAAAAAGTTCAAAATGGTAATTAGAATATATATATATATATATATATATATAATATATATATATATAAAATATATTTACTGTGTTTTTGCTCTGTAAATATAATTATATCTAAAACAGTAGCTTTGACATCAGTTCAGACTCGATTATTACAATTATTTCTCTTACACGACTTTTATGGCTTACTTGAAAGTATTTTATATGAATTACACTGCATTTTGTACGTAAATTATACTCAGCAATAATATTAAGTTAGTTCCAATCCGTTCGAAGTTATTTACCAAAAATACCTATTTGTGGGCATATTTTTACGTGGTAGAGCCACGTAGCACGAATGGATCGGCTCGACCGAGGCAGGACCAAGCTCTCGCAAAATAGCAGCGTGATGCTGCTGTGTTTCGTATGGTGAGTGTAGAGAACCGGAGACCCTTTTTACTGGAATTGAGGCGTTCCACCTTAATCCTCAGATGTGACAACCCATTATTTGCATTTTGATCCTTAGTTGAGGATAAATGTGGATGTCTATGGGCCACAGCATCCACTTACCGTCAGGTGGACTGTGTGCTTGTTTGTCACCCAATGCTATAAAATAAATGTATTATAACTAAAGTGGTTAAAATAAACAATTTCACAAAAATTATCAAGTTTTATTGCTGTCATCATCATAATAGTTTCACGAACAAGGCAGCAATATCCTTTACGCGCACTTAAGAGGCTGTAAAAGTGTAATTGGACAGTTACAATGTAATAAAAATATAAATTACTTCGCAACCTTCCGTTAGCTAAATACAATGATGTGTCTTACCTGGATTGAAGAGCACCTCCCGCCGTCCCTCAATTGCATGCACTAACTCCGTCACCACTAGTCCCAGCACTACTACTCCCAACACTACTACTCCCGGCACCGCTACCTCCAACACCACTATTCGAGGTAAGACACACTATCGACGATAATACAACGGTGTGATAATACGGTGTGTCTTACCTAGAATAGTGGTGCCGGGAGTAGTGGTGCTGGGACTAGTGGTGACGGGGAGTTACTGCATGCAATTGAGGGAGGGCGGGAGGTGCTCTTCAATCCAGGTAAGACACATCATTGTATTTAGCTAGCGGAAGGTTGCGAAGTAATTTATATTTTTATTATAATGGATTTCCGCAAAGTAACGCCTGATTCTATCAGTTACAATGTATTAACAACCCAGTACTTAAGTCTAAAGTTCAATAAATATACGAATAAAGTTCAAAGCGAAGCCAGTTACACTCTTATATTTTACATAGCACATTGAAATCTATTTCTACTAGCTAACAGACTTGCACAAGCTTTTCAGCGACCAGCAAAAGGTTTCGTACGGAATGTACTATCACAAGCATTGTGAATGCCACTATTTTTATATATTTTTTCATGGATACCACATTCGAGTAATGCTTATAAGTAAACGATTTGATATTTGTTTCGACACCACTACGTACGTACGTAAGTACTATTATTTATTCTGTGACACCACTCTGCTCTGCTTCAATATGAATTGAACCAAAGAAATATAAATGCCACACTCTAGTTGCAGCAACTGGCGATGTTTTTTTATTTTTTTTAAATATTAGTAATCTTATTAATTAACATTACTAATGTTACTTTTAACCACTCCTGGTAAGCTTGAAACGCTTGTGTTACGGCCCTCAGTTACCCCGACAAAAGTCGACAGGATTAGTGCCCATCAGTAATCCAACTCACGAGCAACCGAAGGGAGGGCCCAATGGCCTATGGATAATTAATTTATAACGGCTGTACAAGCAAACACAAACTTACCGAATTCCAGGTGTAGGGTCGACCACAAGGCGCCGTCAGGGGCAAGTAAATGATATGTGTGAGTGGTGTAGGAAAGTGTATAATGTAACCTGACGTCACCGATGCAATCGTTCAGCAGAACCACATTCGTTACCACGCTCCACGAGGCGCGATCACTTCAGTGGGCGCCTGCTATTGGAACTCAAGTCCAACGTCACTTAGCACAAATATAATCGGAGAGAACGCGATCTCCTCCGGATCACAAAGTTTAGCGTTCAACCGACAAAGCAAAATTACTTAGTGCGATATTAAAACACAACACAAGCCACGCGTCGATGCAAATTAATAGCAATCGAAGTTAAAATAGTCACTCAAAACTCAAGTATAAGCCTCGTTGTCACGTATATTAACGAAATAAAACAACATAATGGAGGCCGTCGCAATTCCTATGTATAATAATAATAATAGTCTTTATTTGCAAGAATATGGTTGTATAATGGTGTTTGAGTATAATTCGTTCTACATATTCTACCTTAGTGATGTGCAAATATTAATTGTCAAGTAACCTAAACCCGCGACCTCTAATTGACACAGTCGTCGCGTCCAATCGAGTATTCTAGCCTAATTCCCCGAGCCCCCATCAGCACGGCCGCAGCGTACAAAGATTCTTACAGACTGCCAGGCACCGGCGTAAGGCGCAAGCGAATGCCTCCCTCCCGCGCAACGCTAAACCGGTTCCCCGTCCGAGACTTTTTCTCGCCCTGCATTGACAACGTAGCGTAGTTTGTTTATTGTGTGTATAGAATTTTAGTTTATATCCATCCTAGTTCCTCGTTTTAATATTGTGCATTTTGTTTTATTATGTAGATGTCAGTATCGCGGTCGTCGACTCGAACTCCGGCCCCGTCGACGCCGACAGCGGTGACGCCTCAACCAACCACCACCAAACCTCCACAATCATCGAACAGGTTGTTAATAATATATTGTAATTTATAAAATAAATACAACCTTATATGTAATTACATCCGTATAAATAATTTCTTTCAATTTATATTATTCATATAATTTAAGAAAGCAATATATACCTTTTCCTTTCTGAAAGTCATTTTTACAAGTTTTGTAATTTAGCTGTTTACTTTTATATGTGGCAGTGCTGTCGTCGAGCCAAAAGCGAAACATATTGAAGCCTAAATCACGCTATCAAAGTTCCGAATCAAAAACAGTATATATAGAATATCTCCGAACTATGACACGGATCGTTGGCCGTTCCCCGAGCACATCTTGCCCTTCTTCCAACATCTTGCCCGGCGTGAGATATACCCTTTTTCTTCCACGGTCACATATATTTATTTCTTTCTTTAATAAACCCCCAAAAGACCACTGGTGGACCTCTTTTCTTAGAGGGAGGATTTGCTGTGTGATGGCGTCGTAAGAGAATCCATCACCCCATTTCGCCCTATGGGTGTTGTAAGGAGGCGACAAAGGAAATGCCAGAGACATGGCTTCTGTGTGTCTGTGGCGGCAAAACCATCCCGTTTACACAAGACATGAAATATATGAACTAGTGACTGAGAGCAGCGCCAAAGGTGTAAGATGTCTAGTATAGTTGCCGGCACGAAACGTGAGCACAGATGAAGTATGGTGGGGGTTGAGCCAGCGCAGGTACACTGTCGGCCAAAATTATTAGGTACCTTTGTTATTTCAATTCATAATTGAATATTTTCGCTGACTTTTTTTCGAAATTCTGAGTCGTTAACTCCTTTAACTATACACCGTATAGTATCTATAGTACGTTTCTAGGGCAGGCGGAAAAAAGTTCATTGACCTTTGACGATATCATGGGGTAGGCAATCTTTTTTTGTTTAGGTTCATTTTTTTATCCTTTTATCATTACATATATCATCAGAGTGAAAGATAAGGGTGCCGAGTGCGAAGTTCTTTACAGGCCCTATATCTATTATTAAGATTATCCTGTACCTGAATGAATTTAAAAGCAAATTAATATTAATTTAAATTTATTATTTATAAATCATAATCACAATTTTCATTATTACGTTAATAGTAGGTAAGTACTTTAATAAGTAGGTAGGTAGGTAGTTGTATAAAACATAAACGCTTCTTGGCAGTCAGGTAAAAAGACGAACTTTTAATGCTAAGCATTCTTAAGCAGCCAACCTTGAAGCATGCATAAAACTTCTCATAATAGATTGTCAGAGACACTTGACAGACTATTCATCTGTATCTATTTCAGAATCATTTTATGATGATGAAGACGTAGAAGAGTCCGTCACATTGATTATAACATAAAATATCGGCAGTCTTCTTTTTTGTATCCGTTTTGGATGGATATACGTCACTAGACCACGTTTCCTTTACATATTTATAGATATTTACAATCGTCTTTTTTCTTTCGTGGTGACGTAAAGTGTTTATGTGATTTTCATGTCGATGGACCCGATTTCATACGAGTGATAATATACAAAACGTCACAAATCAATAACAAAAACTTTAATACAAAATGTAATAATACAACTAACATAAAAAACATAATAAAAATTAAAACAACTACTATAACCGAAAATTTTTAATCTCTAACTATCTACATGCAAGTGAATCCTAAAGCAGAATTAGGAATGAGTTCTGCTCCATCCGCTTTCTCAAATACCCATGGCGTGAGACCTATCGCAAATCGCGTCGAAACAGGTTTATTATCTCTGAATGACCGCTTCCTTCCCCCTACCCCGTACCATGAGACACGCTTAGCGCATAACGATACGTAATCTATAAAGAAATGTATGGAAGCAATAACTGTCGTTTTGTTTCGATGCTAACATACTTGAGGTCAATGTACTTTTTTCCGCCTGCCCTAGAAACGTACTATTCGTAGACATTGGTCGCCTCAGCAGTCTGTTTATAAACGTCTATCCATTGACATATATTACTACGTCTATCATGTTTTACGCAATACCTAATTATTTCATGTAACAAAACACTGAATAGACCATTTATTGGGATTGTCTATTTAACACCGATTCTTTATTCTCTGCATATTTAGACCAAAATCCGAATACTCAAATTATAAGAAAAATATAATTAACAACAAGAAATATCAAAAACAGTTAAAAACAAGAAATACACAAACAACAATTAACAACAATGAACAAAAATAAACCAATTAAAAAATTGTCACTAAAATTGCTCTCAAGTGTACGGTAGTCGAATGATACGTGCGAACCCAATAGACGACGAACATCGACAAACGAACCAATCACGTTGAGCGTCAGCGTGGTCAACGTCATATCGACCAATAAAAAGTGTGCTCACGACTCGTGCCATCAATTGTACTGCGGTTTTCAATCTGCCTGTTAAGTGTGACGATTATAGAAATTAAAACAAATATATCTAAAAATAGTGTGTCCTTAAAATTACAATTAAATTTTAATACTTCTGTTTCTACGCTATGTTACGCTTTCAAGAGAGCGTTAAAGAGAGGGTATAATTTTATGATCCCTCTTCAACAAGAAAGCAAATAATAATAAGTATTTCTGTGGTGTCACTCGATTTGATTTTAGTATTGTGAATTTTTCAGTAACCGTTCGCTAACTGCAGCGGAGTCGCTGACTCGGAGCCATCATTCGGAGCGCGCTCGTGAACCAGAAGTGCCTGCCAAGAAAGGTAAAGGTAACGCAGCTTGTATCAAATTTCTTTACAAATTTCTTTTCACAGAAACTCCTTCTTTATATACATGGGTACATGATTATAAAGTCGTCCAGGTATGTTTTTATAAGTGGTAGAGCCATGCTGCGACAATATTGTCGTTGTAGCACGAATGTCTCGGCTCGACCGGTTTAGGACCACGCTCTCACAGAATACCAGCGTAAAATAGCAGCTTAATGCTGATGTGTTTTGTGTGGTGATTATAGAGAACCAGAGACCCTTTTGACTGGAAACCAGGCATTTTATCTTAGTCCTCAGGGGTGACAACGCATCTGCATTTTAACTCTTAATCGAGGAAAAGCGCAGATGTCTATGGGCCACAGCATCCACTTACCAACAGGTGGACTTCATTCATAGTCGCTAGTCTTAACTGAGACTAGCCATTTGTACAAGACAGAATTAGAGTGCCCGAATGTATGTGCAAGTACAGATGCACTCTATCCCGTCAACCTCATAGTCCAATGAGATGGTAATAAGATGATTTCCGAGGCACGCGGGTAAATATCCATAGTATATAAATTTAAAGATATTATAAAAATTGAAATGTTTTTAATATCACATTCCATTTTGTGTTGAAGGATCGTCATCCAGTACAGCCAGTCAAGGAAGCAGTTCCAGTAAGCAGCATCAGGTATTTAAAATTTTGACTTTGTAGTTAATTATCGCCATCATGGGTGCTACTTAGTTGGAAAACAATTTGGATAGATAGATAGATAATTATTATTTTTATAAAATTATTATTGTTTAAGTGATTAAACTAGGTATAAAGTAACGTATTACGAAAAGTTTACAAAAACTTAAGATCTAAATATACATCTGTTGCAGTTTGACAAATCCTTGTTTCGTATCATTAAGTGAAGCGTATCGATTCACTCGATGGAGTGAAGACCTGATAAGAGTGCATCTCTTCTTTGGAAGTTGATGTATGCAGGTGGCTCAGGATCGTGCTTTGTGATATTCCTTGGGGGAGGCCTATATTCAGCAGCTGTAATGATAATGATGATAAAATAAACACAATAGATACTATACCTTTTATTCTAAATTTAGTGTAATCTAATAAAATTTAAAATACTTTATGATATATTAATTTAAATAATTATATATGGCCTCTGTAATAAATAAGTCTATCCGTTATAGCAGTTAGCAGCCGCGGCCGCTGCTCAGATGGCCTTCGAGCAACACAGTGCTGCGGCTATGCAAGCTCTGCAGCACCAGTTACTTAGAGGTACTTTTAAATTTATTTGTTGTTTGAACGAGTTACATCAGAAGCACACAGAAATTAACCCGAGTTCAGAAACTAGGTTTTCCTGAAATTGTTAATTGTAATATTAAATTTTGATTTGTATAAACATCTTATTTTATAAAATGAAACCTAATAGATTTCTTATAGTACGACTAGTTTCGATATGTTATAAGAAATTTAATAAGGGGATATTTCTTTACCTGGATTTAAAACCATTACTAAAGAAATAGTGATGTTTCTAATTGATTGTTATTCATCATTTTTCTAAACTATACTCATGATCGGACTAAAAGATTTTAAAGTGGTTGCACACCACTAAGAAACTATAATTCATAAACAAGAGATAACAACAAATCTATATCACGATTTACTTTGTGATAATAACCAGGAAGTTTGAAAATAATATTTCATAATTTTAAAGCACTCAACAAAAGCTTTTATAAACCCTATACCTACTAGCAATTCTTATATATATATATATAATATTTATATATATATATATATATATAATCGGAATCTCGGAAGCGGCTCCAACGATTTTCATAAAATTTAGTGTCCATGGGTTTTTGGGGGCAATAAATCGATCTAGGTGGGATTCATTTTTAGAAAATGTCGTTTTGTCCGTGTTTTCAGGCAATGAAAAACTGCTACTACATTTTTAGAAGGTAAATTTTAACTCAATTATAATGATCGTAATAGCGCAAGTGGATAACGCACTGTCGCGTAATTGTAGTGCCCTGGTTCGCGTCTTGTCTTAGGTTTGACTAATTTCCCTTTTTTTTTTCCAAGTTCCCTTCTTTTGTGAGAAAATCTATATTATTTCGAGCCCTTTTTTTTGTATTTTTTTTAAAAACGAATATTTTATTGCACTCATGATTTTTCATTCTAATAACCGGTTCAGTTTTTTCTATTATGTCGGTAAGATCAAAAAATATTCTTCATATTTTATCAGTATACTAAATATAACGAATTAGAATGAGCTATTTATTTATAAACAATAAAGCACGGAACAGAAAAAAGGATTTTATGTAACTGAATTATATTTGTTTCTGAACGCACCAGAACCGTGAACTTGAGCTCTACAAAATATAACAAACTAATAATGTGTGTCTGCCTGAAACTGTTTGCAAAATGCGAAAAGGGTGTTTAATTTAACCCGGCAAAACCATATTTAGCAAATGTTTGCAAGTTTAATTTTGTGACTACTTTGGTAGTTTACCGATTTATAATAATTGTATTTATTGTTGACCAAAAACATATTCAAACACATTCATATATGAAACACTGACACGTATGACGTAGGTAATCAGTATTGTGACGATATTTCAGAAAAATCACGGGCCAGCCTGCTGTTAATAATACTACCTAAAACATAATTGCCTTTTTAGAATAATTAATTACTACACCTACGATAATTTACAATATGGTCTCAAATATATACTAGAGAAATATTGTAATTCGAATCAATGAAAACATACATACAAAATTTGTATAATACACAAGAAATTCCGCGCGCAAATCATAGCGCGTGACAACCGAAATCAGAATAATATATTTTATAACAAGTCAAACAAGTGAACGAAGTTTGACAACGCTTTTGTTTCGTCAATTCAAGGTCAGGAATACGTTAGTACTCTTATCAGTGTGTTGTCAGGAAGGACGGCAACGTCGCTTTACCTACGACTTTTGGTATTTATGTTGCCACACAGCAGTAATAAGTAATAAAATTGTTTACAAAAAAACATAGGTGTCTAAAGTCATTACTTTTATGTTATTTTATACTGTTTTTTTTTAACGATTGGAAAGGAAATTAACCTATTATTGAACTAATAGAAGATATTCGATTTATCAGAATGGAGAAGATAACAAGGTTACAATATTAGACTTTTAAGTACGTAGGTAAAAATCACCAAACACATAATTCTAGTTTTTATTTCACATCGATCGGTGCACTATTACCGAAGTTATAAGCGTGGAAAGTTTACGTACATTTCTAAAATCTCGCCCGTGCCCGCGAGTAGCGCGTGACGTCATTCGTTCCATGCGGCCGCTCCGCCATACCGTTCCAGCGCGCCGATCATACGTTTGTAGTAATATTTCGCGGGTGAGTTGTTTGCCCTCGTACGCTCTGGTGTTTTTAAGTATTTAATGATGGAAGAAGGGTTTCAAAAGGGTCAATCTGACAACCTTCCAATAGTCCGTGACATGATGGTGGCGGAATATTTTCTAAGAAACAAAGATTTTGTCGCGGCTGAAATACGCGGAGTCAAAATGAAAAGGTAGGTATAACAATAAGATAATATTTTTATAAACTAGGTATTTTATTACATTAATACTTCTGGGTTTCATTTGCTAATGATAAGAATAGGTTCAGCCTCTCGGTCTCGTCTGTGAGGTGGCTGATTTCAGCCAGTAAAAAAATTAAAATTAAATTTATTTAAACACGCCATTAAAACAAGGTCGCATTTCGCGGCTAAATTCGTTTATATTTTTCTTTCTTTATCTTTCTCTGTGGAATAAGACCGTGACTATGTTCATTATGAACTTGGCTGTATGATATACGTTACTACTAGTAACGTCTATAGAAAAAATAAAAAGAATCTTGTCATTGTCATTGAAGTTCCGTTGATTTCGTTGAATAAACGTGTGATAATTTTGCTTTTAAAATTGTGAATTACATAAACATCTTTTTTAAGTTTGAGGCGACCACAAACTAGTTTGTACTTCACGTAGTTTTCCATATCGTTTTCGACCTAGAACAAAATACAAACTTATTTAAAGTCTATAAAAAAAATAAGGAACCTCGTAATTTGTATTCCATCAATAGTTAAAATATGTACCAACTATGTCATACATAAAAATACAACACGAAAAAAATTTAAGTGCTCCACTTCATAATCAAACTTATTCCATTATTTGCGGCCCGCAAAGTATGAAAGTTGAACAGCTCTGCGTGTGTGTTTAGTTTTTGTTCGAAATTATCTTAAAAATATAAAAACGTTTGTTAACATATTCCATATTTTAACCTTTATATGCATTATAAACATTTTAAAATTTACTGCAAACATAGGTAGGTATCTAAACTTACGAACTCACGACAGGTCATTGACTTATCTACATTACATAGGTACCTTACCCAAATTTGGATGTTTATTTACACTGAAGTAGTTTTAGTTAAATATGTAGGTATTAGGTATTGTTTCTTCATGAAATTATAATGATCATTAAGCGTGGAAAGGTTCAATGAATCGTTAGTTACTTAAACACTGCGACTCGAGTAGGTACCTACATGCCTAATAGAAAGCATTTACTAGCAATAACCAAGACCTATCATGTGAAGGTTATTATTATTTGAATACTTACATCGAAATGATCCTCACAACAAAATGCTACCGTGTTCGGTCCTAAAGGATGTGCTTTTTTCATAACATTTGTCCATTTTTTTTTCTGATGGTAGGGTTTCTAGGCACATTAAAAAACAACTTTTCAGGTGTTTTTGTGGCCGTATTTTTACATTAATGGCACAGCACAATATTTAATAGATGGTGTCATGTTCTACTATAATGTTTCTTGTTAAAAATAGATAGATTCCGCATGCGACGGGCACATTCGAGTAAATGTTTTGATTTTCTAAGTGCGCGTCGGGTCGCTCGCACGAAGATGGAACTTGTGACATCATCAACGATGACGCGCTCGGCCCGCGGCTTAGATCGAAAATGTTAATATTGCGCCTTTATATCTCGGTCAGTTTTGAAGATAGAAAAAATTTAAAAACACAGTTATTCTCATAATTTTTTGTAGAAGTTTTTGGCATATAAAACAAAAAATGGTTATCTTCTCCATTATTTAAGATCACTTGATGCCATCTAGCGTGCCAATGTTTAAACGTCGCCTTTCGTGTGCTTGTCAAAAGTCACGCACACTACTAAAGAAGTGTCAAATTTTTCCGGGATTTCACTATTGTTTTTCTCAGTATATAATATAATTTATTGCCTATAAAGGTCAAACGCGTACATATTTCATTGTAGATAAGTGATAAAGTGATTAGTTTTAAAGAAAGAGTGTCTGTGTTTAGTGTATATTTTAGTAAAAAAATGTATGGGCGGACGGTCGACGCATCCACCTTAATTTAAAAAAAAATATTTGCAAATTAGCAAATTATATGTAGTTTCATTACCTCTGTATTGCCCGGGAAGGAAAGGATATTTTTTTAAAGAATATTAACAATGCTATAAACATTACTAATAGTCCCCTTAACGCCAGTAAATCGAATAACAGATTCGAACCCACGACCTGTTTGAGTCCGCGGTCCGCGCTTTGCCATTAGGCTACCGTCGCTTGATTGTCAAAGACCCCGCTTTACTGATCAGTTAGAGGTATAAAACTACACACAATTTGCAAATAGAAATTTATTTTAATGAAATTAAAAAAAAAATGGTCGAGTTTCTGGAAAAAAATATTTTTATACATTTGAATACTAATGCTTATAACGCGCTTATCGGGAACCACAGGGTTTTTGTTATATGTTAAATAAGAATCAGTTGTTGTCTGTCAGAGTCATAGATTACTATATATATACAATACACAATAGAATGGCTGACAACTTTGTTTTGTGCGAGAACTGGTGAGTTCTCCGTGAGCGACACAAGTTGGGGTCTCCAAAATGGCCGTTTTGTAGGCGTCCACAGCTTCTTAAGGTGATGAAAATCTCTGTCCACGCAATTTATTCTTTATTTTAGAGAAAGTATAGAAATCATTAGGGCTTAGGTCGGGGCTGTACGGCGGATGGTCTAATAATTCTGTTTTCTTGTTCTAAAAACTCTTTTGTTCTGTGTGCGGTGTGAGAACTCGCATTGTCGTGATGGAGGATGATGCGGCGGTTGCAGTTCTCTTTACGGAGTTCAGAAACGACCTGTGGCAAACAAATGCTAGCATACCATTCTGCATTAACCGTTCTTTGTCCCTCAAGAGGAATAGTCGTAACATGGCCGGTTTTGAAGACAAACGTGGCCAAAATTTTTTTTTTTGCAACACTCCGTGAACGAACAATTTTTGTTGGCTTTAACTCATTTTCGAACACCCAAACTCGTGACTGGTTTTTTGTTTCGGGTTCGTACGCATATATCCAGGATTCGTCACCTGATACGATGTTGTATACAGCATTTGAGGATCCTGCGTGGAATCTTTCGAGAGTTCTGACGCACCAATTAACGCGAGCCGCTTTTTGCTCTTCACAGAGCGAATGCGGTATCCATCGGGAAAACAACTTTTTTAAACCTAATTGTTCAAGCAAGATTATTTGTATTTGACTCATGCCAATGTCAGTTGACTGAATTTCGCGGTATGTCACATGTCGATCTTCCTCAATCGGCTTACGCACAGCATCAACGTTTTCTTGGGTGACTGCAGTTTTTGGACGACCTTGACGGGGATCATCACTGAGCTTGACATGTTCACGTTGAAATTCAGCAAACCAGCTAATAAACTAATTGCAATAAATCTGACAGCTGTCAAAATGTATTTCTTAGATTTGGTTGACTATAATGTGAACAACGTAGAGAAGTCGAATTTTGGGTATACTCAATTTTTAAAAGATACGTATAAGGAGCATATTATACCCTATTTTAAAAGTAAAAAATGAACTCCAAAAAATATTTCAACTAGTTTCGCATGAATGAGGAAATATTTCGTCATTTCACAAATCAATTACGAGTCTCAATTTTACACGTACACAAGCACACGGCTAAAATACCTATATAATACACAAGCAGTTTTGCCGCCGGCACCGAGCGGGGAGCTCGTTGTCCGTGCACTAATGGTGGTTAATATAGTGCATAGCACATATTATAGCGCGCTATCTCTTCATAATGCATAGCACGTGCTATGTAAGTAGTCGCCATGGCGCTATGACGCTTTGGTGCTATTCATATCAAGTGGTAATTCTAGCAGTAGCGCTGTTGGGAGTAGACGTGTGACGCAAATTTAATCTAGCAGCACGCTACTCATCGAGCGCGAACTAATTTACGTTGTTTAGTTAGTGTATACTGAATATTAATTTATAAGTGATCGAAGGACACAGTTGTCTGTTACAAAAGAAGCCTAACTAATGTTTTTAAATGTAAATAAAATATAGATACAAAAGTGTGTATAATAGTGTTTGTAAATAGTTGATTTTTGTAAATACGATCATTAAATTTTTAAATACATCTTTAATTGATTAATAATTTCTATTAAGGTTAAAATAATGCTTACATCAATTACAATAAAAATTATTAATTTATTTTTTTTATAAGTACATGACCTTATAAATATTTTTAGGATTATAGAAAGTCGTAAGCCCGAAAAGTATGAAAGAGCGTTCATTGATTTCTCTTTACCTCTCTATTTTATTTTAATCTAAAATGCGACCTATTACGAAATAATGTTCTTATAATATAGCACGCTGTCTATCCAATGAACGACACGTAATGTAGTGTGCTCCGAGATATAGCGTGCTACTAAACTGCGCTTGCCGGCCCCCTACACGCTTTTTTATAAATAGCGCGCTATAACATAGCGTATTTAATAGCGTGCTAAAAATTAATAGTTTATAGTCTGTAGCGTGCTATTGAGTTGATTTATAGTCGTTTTGAACGACTTAACCGTGCACCGGCGACGGCTCCGGTGGGAGTTATCGCCGTGCCGGCATCGGCGCCGGTAGCTGAAAACTGTGCAATATGTTTCATATATTCTATACATTTTTGCTTTCTTAAGGTGGATGCGTCGACCGTCCGCCCATATATTTTTTAACCAAAACATACACTAAACACAGACACTCTTTCTTTAAAACAATATCATTTTATCACTTCTCTACAATGAAATGTGTACGCGTTTGACCTTCATAGGCAATAACTTACATTATTTACTGAGAAAAACAATAGTGAAATAACGGAAAAATTTGACACTTCTTTAGTAGTGTGCGTGACTTTTGACAAGCAAACGAAAGGCGACGTTTAAACATTGGCACGCTAGATGGCATCCAAGTCATCTTTGATAAATCAATATCTTAAGTTCAATAATTGGTTAATTTCCTTTCCAACCGTTAAAAAAAAACAGTATAAAATAACATAAAACTAATGACCTTAGACACATTTGTTTTTTTGTAAACAATTTTATTACACCAGACCAGTTTGCAGACCAAATTGGCGATTTATTGAGAAACGGGCCAAATTAGGAGTACCCTTAACCGACGAGCATGTATGCGTAGGTGTATGGATGTGAAGGAGGCGAGAGAGGTGTGTCAGGATCGTGCCAAATGGAAGTCTGTAGTCCTTGCTTATCCCAATCTGGGTGACAGGCGTGAGTGTTTGTGTTATGTTTTATTACTTATTGTTGTGTGGCAACGTAAATACCAAAAGTCGTAGGTAAAGCGACGTTGCCGTCCTTCCTGACAACAAACTGATAAGAGTACTAACGTATTCCTGACCTTGAATTGACGAAACAAAAGCGTTGCCAAACTTCGTTCACTTGTTTGACTTGTTATAAAATATATTCTGATTTCGATTGTCACGCGCTATGATTTGCGCGCGGAGTTTCTCGTGTATTATATATATTTTGTATGTATGTTTTCATTGATTCGAATTACAATATTTCTCTAGTATATATTTGAGACCATATTGTAATTTATCGTAGGTATAGTAATTCTAAAAACGCAATTATGTTTTCGGTAGTATTATTAACAGCAGGCTGGCCCGTGATTTTTCTGAAATATCGTCACAATACTGATTACCTACGTCATACGTGTCAGTGTTTTATATATGAATGTGTTTGAATATGTTTTTGGTCAACAATAAATACAATTATTATAAATCGGTAAACTACCAAAGTAGTCACAAAATTAAACTTGCAAACATTTGCTAATTATGGTTTTGCTGGGTTACATTAAACACCCTTTACGCATTTTGCAAACAGTTTCAAGAAGACACACATTATTAGTTTGTTATATTTTGTAGAGCTCAAGTTCACGGTTATGGTGCATTCAGAAACGAATATAATTCACTTACATAAAATCCTTTTTTCTGTTCCGTGCTTTATTGTTTATAAATAAATAGCTCATTCTAATGGATTTTTTCGTTATATTTAGTATACTGATAAAATATGAAGAATATTTTTTGATCTTACCGACATAATAGAAAAAACTAAACTGGTTATTAGAATGAAAAATCATGAGTGCAATAAAATATTCGTAAAAAAAATACAAAAAAAGGCTCGAAATAATATGATTTTCTCACAAAAGAAGGGAACTTGAAAAAAAAAAGGGAAAAAAAGTCAAACCAATTGTAACCAACAAGACGCGAACCAGGGCACTACGATTTCGCGACAGTGCGTTATCCACTTGAGCTATTACGATCATTATAATTGAGTTAAAATTTACCTTCTTATATTGTAGCAGTTTTTCATTGCCTGAAAACACGGACAAAACGACATTTTATAAAAATACATAATACAATAAAACAATAAATAACAAGAAAAGCGCTTTTTTAATATATATATATATATATATATATATATATATATATATATATATATATATATATACAAGAATTGCTCGTAGGTGTAGGGTTTATATTTTTGTTTTACTAAAAGCTTTAGATGAGTGCTTCAAAATTAGGAAATATTATTTTCAAACTTCCTGGTTATTATCACAAAATAAATCGTGTTATAGATTTGTTGTTATCTCTTGTTTATGAATTATAGTTTCTTACGTATTGGTTATGAAATTTATAATTATTGTAATAATTGGTACTGTTACAAATCATCAGTGTTATTATTTTTGAGTGAATAGGCATGTATCAGTATAATTATGTTGCTTCAAATAGGTACTTCTGTTTTGATAAAAAATTCAATAGTGTAATGTAATAAAATAAAACTGCGTTATATTGTAATCAATGTTGACATAATTTATTTCCCAAAGTTATAAATCAATTAAATAGTTTATGCCAACAAATATAATTTTTTTTTTATAACAATCGTACATAGCGTTTTGTATTTCTGCCTACCCAATCTGCACATACAGAAAAATTAAAAACTTGCTTTTTTACATACATGCCATCTAGTGTACTAGCTTCGTAAACGTAGGGCTACGTCTGTGTGTGTAAACGACACTATATTTAATGACGGATGTTCTAATCAAAATTTATGTCTAATTGGGTGGATTTTGAGGCAATGATATGACCCTTTTCAATAAAATGTAATATTCGATAACCGCAAAATATATAATAATCCTACGACAAACCGACAAAAATCCAAATGAACTAAAAATGTTGACTTCAACGCCATCTTGCGGGAGAATGGCTGGGAACAGTCCGTAGGTTTCACCTTAATAATGATTATTGATGTAAGTCAAGCCTAGACATTGTCGTTTTGCATCGTGCGACCTTCATGGCCTTGGTTGGGATGTAGAGTAAGATGACCGTGAATAAGGCGTTTTAGTCTCGATGTGGCGTGGAGGTCGATGGGACGTGTCCCAGTTGTGGGCGTGGGCTAGTGGTGACGGTGTTGCGTGTTGGCGCAGGGCTGAGTGGCGCGGGCGGCAGCGGCGGCATGTCAGCGGCGGCGGCGGCCGCCATGATGCAGTTCTCGCCGCTGCTCTACACCTACCAGCTGGCCATGGCGCAGGCCTCCGCGCTAGGTAAGCGTTGTACGTATTCGCACGCATCATTTACTTTTACTTCACACTACCCTCCTTTTGTACGCCGACGTCATGAAGGTTAGAGAAACAGGAGAACGATCGCTACGTACCAAAGCATAGCCCGCCTGTCCTTGAAAATTGTAGAATTTATAGCGGCGCTGACGTCGGTGAGTAGTGACTGCGAAGTTAGCTGTTTATGAGCACAAGTATATGAAGTTAGTTGAATATTGTACAAATTTTCATTTCATTTTTAATGAGAAAATTTTCATGCACCGTAATTTTGTAATTTTTGACAAAAAGAAACATTAAAAATGGAGAAATATTTTATTGTGCGTGGATGTGCAAGTGGTTTAGCATCTGATCGGAAAAATAGACTGAAAATTACTTTTATTGATCGAACTTTGTGATCGCAGCGCCTCGCTCATGGGGTCCATATTTCTGGGACACTATTTTCTACGGCGATTGTTCTCCTGTTCTCTAACATTCATGGCCGACATCACCATCGTTTCCGTGCTGTCAAACATAATCCATTATATATGTTATGGACCAAGTAGTTAAACAAGCCACTACATATAATATCCGGGAAATATGAATAATGACAAATCAAATCAATTTGTCTGATCATAACCTAACTTATATTTATAACTCAACCTATCTTTTTATTACTTTGCCCAATAAATAACGGACTTTATTTTTAAAACCAGATCACTTTGATTATTTCCATAGCTTTTATCGTATTCCCTTTTTATATTGAACAATTTTCAAACTACTTAGATATTACGCCATTATTTCTCACTTGGTCCATAACATTGCGCAACGAGGCGAACCCGCTAAAGGATTAAGCGCTTCGGTATTATACAATAATTTTAATAACAAATTTAAGCTCTAGTGTATTAATTACCTGCTAGATAGTAACAGAAAACATCTTAAGAAAACCTACACATAATTTTTTTAAATCGCAAGTTTGTGAAGTCCCCCACGCATTGGGGCAGCACAACGAACACTGCTTTGTCTTAATACCCTCTTAAAAGTAAAAAGACGCCTGTGCTGAACACTGAGACGTATACAGGCTGTAACTTTTATATCTTGTGAGATCCGTAAAACAAAGAAGGAAATGAAAAAGACAATGGAGAACGGCATCTACCTGATAACTACTTTATAAAACTATATCTATACTATCTTTATAAAAGCTGCGTTTGCTAACTCGCCCGTAAGGCAATCTATACAGAAGGGTTAATAGCAGATGAAAAATGAAAGCTTATTGACTCCATCAAAATACAGATGCATATTTAATGTTTATAATTCTAAGTAAGATGGTCGGGTCCTTCCTTCTCCTCCCTTAGTCAAGTCGACATCTGCTGTAACCATAATTTACTGCAGCATAGCTTTATCACGTTTTTAATCACCCTTTACAATCCTCAAAAAAGTGCGATTACTATGAATGGCACGCTTGATACATAAATTGGCCGTTCTGAGTCGCTGGTCTACTTCCCATCTCACTTTTGAACACGCGAATTTTTTGTATCACCACCGGTTAGGGATTACATGTGGCCTGTGTTTGTCACTATTACTTAGATAAAAAGTCATGTGTGGAGCCTCTAATCGTCAATTCAAGATAAATAAAATATTCAATGATTTAATAGTTTTATAAAATTTTTGTAATGGGTAAAAAATGTTAAACTCGCGTCAGGACACGTAACCCTGATCGAAAATACGTAAGACGGGTGGAGAGAGAGAGAGACAGCCGGCGCAGTGTAGGAGAGGAAGTATCCCCCTCTTTTACGGCGCGGTAGAGGGAAGTATCCCCCTCTCTTTCTACGGCGCGGCGAAAATGTATACCTGCGTCTGCTGTGTCGTTTAGGCGTCGCAGGGCGCTTGCGCGAATGTACCTAATATAAATTGTCATGTTTGTGTACGATAGCGCATTAAATAAATATTGTATTCTACCACATAAATGATAGTACTTTTATACTGATAAACAATTCGTGCAAAATTATTCCCTAACCATTCCAAAATATCAAAAATGCAAAACTTTAATATTCAAGGTTTCACTTCTGCCGGCACTCCCGGAGTGCAACCCGTCGTTTTTATACTTCAACTAGCTGGCCAGACAGACGTTGTTCTGTCGCTTCCTTCTCCTTCCGACCCTTTATCTTATAATAAATCCTTAATTTGCAAACAAAATTGAGGAGGGAGTAAAAACTATACTCCTATCTCTCAAGTTGGACCAAACTGCACACGTTGCGCAAAATTTCGTTGAAATCAGTTCATTTGTTTATTAGGAGTCCATCGTGGCCAAAGTGACACGTTTTTTTTTTTTTTTAAATATATAGAGATGATATTAATATAGCAAAATATTTACCAATGTTAAGATTCATTTAGGAAATATTCATCATATTCATCATTGTCATGTCACATTCATATTTGTGATGTAATTTGTTCATCGTTAAAGATGTCGTTTATATTGCTTCATCTAATCAAACGATTTATTTTCAATCAGGTCATGGTCATGACATTCCATGTAAAATTTACATCATTTTATGGACTAACTCATAAAAAACCCCTTTCTACAAGTAATTTGATATTATAATAGGTATCTCTATCCTTATAAGAAAGTGTAAATTTTGTATATCTGGTTTTTATTTACATTTTTTATATTATATTAATGGAGTTAGCGAATAAGTTAGCCCGTCTCCTTCTGAATATAATTACAAGGACCCGCAATCGCCATTCTTGGCTGACGAATTGGCGATAGCAGCATAAGCCCACATCTGATATGACTACGAAATGATTATACTTTGATATTTCCTCAAGTAGAATACTGACTCCAACCATATTTTGAAAATTGTTAAAATTCACATCTCATCGATCATTCGAACATCATATCTGCTTATGCTAATATTATGTCGCAGCGGGCAAAAGCGGCAACAGCGGAAGTACTGCGGCGATGGCGGCGGAAATGCAACGCGTGGCCGAGGCACAGAGGCAATATCTTCTTGATATGATACCTGGACAGCATGGCCGCAATCCCTGGACTAAGAACTGAGCCGCTGCACAGCTGGGGTAAATTTTTCTTATTAATATACCTATACGCATTACGACAATAACATTACAGTTTAAGACAAGTCATAACATCATGCAGTTGCGGTGTGGTGTAAAAATTACTACTCCATATCTTTCCGTGGATGTCGTAAGAGACGATAGAGGTAAACAAATCGGAGATGGGCAGCAGCGTCTTCCTAATAACGACTAAAAATTCAAAACAGCGGTTGCCATCAGTTGCAACTATGGCAAATATGCTTTCTATGTGGCGATCTATGGGGAGAGGCCTATGTTCAGCAGTGGACTTGAATAGGCTGTAGCAGTAACGAACAAGTCATAATAAACAATGAGAACAAACTTAATGGTTATAAAATATGCTTTCTATGTGGCAATCTATGGGGAGAGGCCTATGTTCAGCAGTGGACTTGAATAGGCTGTAGCAGTAACGAACAAGCCATAATAATCAATGAGAACAAACTTAATGGTTATAAAATATGCTTTCTATGTGGCAATCTATGGGGAGAGGCCTATGTTCAGCAGTGGACTTGAATAGGCTGTAGCAGTAACGAACAAGTCATAATAATCTTAATGAGAACAAACTTAATGGTTATAAAATATGCTTTCTATGTAGCAATCTATGGGGAGAGGCCTATGTTCAGCAGTGGACTTGAATAGGCTGTAGCAGTAACGAACAAGCCATAATAATCTTAATGAGAACAAACTTAATGGTTATAAAATATGCTTTCTATGTGGCAATCTATGGGGAGAGGCCTATGTTCAGCAGTGGACTTAATAGGCTGTAGCAGTAACGAACAAGTCATAATAAACAATGAGAAAAAACTTAATGGTTATAAAATATGCTTTCTATGTGGCAATCTATGGGGAGAGGCCTATGTTCAGCAGTGGACTTGAATAGACTGTAGCAGTAACGAACAAGTCATAATAAACAATGAGAACAAACTTAATGGTTATAAAATATGCTTTCTATGTGGCAATCTATGGGGAGAGGCCTATGTTCAGCAGTGGACTTGAATAGGCTGTAGCAGTAACGAACAAGTCATAATAATCTTAATGAGAACAAACTTAATGGTTATAAAATATGCTTTCTATGTGGCAATCTATGGGGAGAGGCCTATGTTCAGCAGTGGACTTGAATAGGCTGTAGCAGTAACGAACGAGTCAGAATAATCTTAATGAGAACAAACTTAATGGTTATAAAATATGCTTTCTATGTGGCAATCTATGGGGAGAGGCCTATGTTCAGCAGTGGACTTGAATAGGCTGTAGCAGTAACGAACAAGTCATAATAATCTTAATGAGAACAAACTTAATGGTTATAAAATATGCTTTCTATGTGGCAATCTATGGGGAGAGGCCTATGTTCAGCAGTGGACTTGAATAGGCTGTAGCAGTAACGAACAAGTCATAATAAACTTAATGAGTACAAACTTAATGGTTATAAAATATGCTTTCTATGTGGCAATCTATGGGGAGAGGCCTATGTTCAGCAGTGGACTTGAATAGGCTGTAGCAGTAACGAACAAGTCATAATAAACTTAATGAGAACAAACTTAATGGTTATAAAATATGCTTTCTATGTGGCAATCTATGGGGAGAGGCCTATGTTCAGCAGTGGACTTGAATAGGCTGTAGCAGTAACGAACGAGTCATAATAAACAATGAGAACAAATTTAATGGTTATAAAATATGCTTTCTATGTGGCAATCTATGGGGAGAGGCCTATGTTCAGCAGTGGACTTGAATAGGCTGTAGCAGTAACGAACAAGTCATAATAATCTTAATGAGAACAAACTTAATGGTTATAAAATATGCTTTCTATGTGGCAATCTATGGGGAGAGGCCTATGTTCAGCAGTGGACTTGAATAGGCTGTAGCAGTAACGAACGAGTCATAATAAACAGTGAGAACAAATTTAATGGTTATAAAATATGCTTTCTATGTGGCAATCTATGGGGAGAGGCCTATGTTCAGCAGTGGACTTGAATAGGCTGTAACAGTAACGAACAAGTCATAATAAACAATGAGAACAAACTTAATGGTTATAAAATATGCTTTCTATGTGGCAATCTATGGGGAGAGGCCTATGTTCAGCAGTGGACTTGAATAGGCTGTAGCAGTAACGAACAAGTCATAATAATCTTAATGAGAACAAACTTAATGGTTATAAAATATGCTTTCTAAGTGGCAATCTATGGGGAGAGGCCTATGTTCAGCAGTGGACTTGAATAGGCTGTAGCAGTAACGAACAAGTCATAATAATCTTAATGAGAACAAACTTAATGGTTATAAAATATGCTTTCTTTGTGGCAATCTATGGGGAGAGGCCTATGTTCAGCAGTGGACTTGAATAGGCTGTAGCAGTAACGAACAAGTCATAATAATCTTAATGAGAACAAACTTAATGGTTATAAAATACGCTTTCTATGTGGCAATCTATGGGGAGAGGCCTATGTTCAGCAGTGGACTTGAATAGGCTGTAGCAGTAACGAACAAGTCATAATAAACAATGAGAAAAAACTTAATGGTTATAAAATATGCTTTCTATGTGGCAATCTATGGGGAGAGGCCTATGTTCAGCAGTGGACTTGAATAGGCTGTAGCAGTAACGAACAAGTCATAATAATCTTAATGAGAACAAACTTAATGGTTATAAAATATGCTTTCTATGTGGCAATCTATGGGGAGAGGCCAATGTTCAGCAGTGGACTTGAATAGGCTGTAGCAGTAACGAACAAGTCATAATAAACAATGAGAACAAACTTAATGATTATAAAATATGCTTTCTATGTGGCAATCTATGGGGAGAGGCCTATGTTCAGCAGTGGACTTGAATAGGCTGTAGCAGTAACGAACAAGTCATAATAATCTTAATGAGAACAAATTTAATGGTTATAAAATACGCTTTCTATGTGGCAATCTATGGGGAGAGGCCTATGTTCAGCAGTGGACTTGAATAGGCTGTAGCAGTAACGAACAAGTCATAATAAACAATGAGAACAAACTTAATGGTTATAAAATATGCTTTCTATGTGGCAATCTATGGGGAAAGGCCTATGTTCAGCAGTGGACTTGAATAGGCTGTAGCAGTAACGAACAAGTCATAATAATCTTAATGAGAACAAACTTAATGGTTATAAAATACGCTTTCTATGTGGCAATCTATGGGGAGAGGCCTATGTTCAGCAGTGGACTTGAATAGGCTGTAGCAGTAACGAACAAGTCATAATAAACAATGAGAACAAACTTAATGGTTATAAAATATGCTTTCTATGTGGCAATCTATGGGGAGAGGCCTATGTTCAGCAGTGGACTTGAATAGGCTGTAGCAGTAACGAACAAGTCATAATAATCTAATGAGAACAAACTTAATGGTTATAAAATATGCTTTCTATGTGGCAATCTATGGGGAGAGGCCTATGTTCAGCAGTGGACTTGAATAGGCTGTAGCAGTAACGAACAAGTCATAATAATTAATGAGAAAAAACTTAATGGTTATAAAATATGCTTTCTATGTGGCAATCTATGGGGAGAGGCCTATGTTCAGCAGTGGACTTGAATAGGCTGTAGCAGTAACGAACAAGTCATAATAATCTAATGAGAACAAACTTAATGGTTATAAAATATGCTTTCTATGTGGCAATCTATGGGGAGCGGCCTATGTTCAGCAGTGGACTTGAATAGGCTGTAGCAGTAACGAACAAGTCATAATAATCTTAATGAGAACAAACTTAATGGTTATAAAATACGCTTTCTATGTGGCAATCTATGGGGAGAGGCCTATGTTCAGCAGTGGACTTGAATAGGCTGTAGCAGTAACGAACAAGTCATAATAAACAATGAGAAAAAACTTAATGGTTATAAAATATGCTTTCTATGTGGCAATCTATGGGGAGAGGCCTATGTTCAGCAGTGGACTTGAATAGGCTGTAGCAGTAACGAACAAGTCATAATAAACTTAGTGAGTACAAACTTAATGGTTATAAAATATGCTTTCTATGTGGCAATCTATGGGGAGAGGCCTATGTTCAGCAGTGGACTTGAATAGGCTGTAGCAGTAACGAACAAGTCATAATAAACTTAATGAGAACAAACTTAATGGTTATAAAATATGCTTTCTATGGCGAGAGGCCTATGTTCAGCAGTGGACTTGAATAGGCTGTAGCAGTAACGAACAAGTCATAATAATCTTAATGAGAACAAACTTAATGGTTATAAAATATGCTTTCTATGTGGCAATCTATGGGGAGAGGCCTATGTTCAGCAGTGGACTTGAATAGGCTGTAGCAGTAACGAACAAGTCATAATAAACAATGAGAACAAACTTAATGGTTATAAAATATGCTTTCTATGTGGCAATCTATGGGGAGAGGCCTATGTTCAGCAGTGGACTTGAATAGGCTGTAGCAGTAACGAACAAGTCATAATAAACAATGAGAACAAACTTAATGGTTATAAAATATGCTTTCTATGTGGCAATCTATGGGGAGAGGCCTATGTTCAGCAGTGGACTTGAATAGGCTGTAGCAGTAACGAACAAGTCATAATAAACTTAATGAGAACAAACTTAATGGTTATAAAATATGCTTTCTATGTGGCAATCTATGGGGAGAGGCCTATGTTCAGCAGTGGACTTGAATAGGCTGTAGCAGTAACGAACAAGTCATAATAATCTTAATGAGAACAAACTTAATGGTTATAAAATATGCTTTCTATGTGGCAATCTATGGGGAGCGGCCTATGTTCAGCAGTGGACTTGAATAGGCTGTAGCAGTAACGAACAAGTCATAATAAACTTAATGAGAACAAACTTAATGGTTATAAAATATGCTTTCTATGGGGAGAGGCCTATGTTCAGCAGTGGACTTGAATAGGCTGTAGCAGTAACGAACAAGTCATAATAAACTTAATGAGAACAAACTTAATGGTTATAAAATATGCTTTCTATGTGGCAATCTATGGGGAGAGGCCTATGTTCAGCAGTGG